CGGGTGCCCCAGAGGCACCCTCTGAAAACGATGCGAACGCCAGAGGTGACTCAGAGGCACTCCTCAGAGATTCATCGCTTAGTGAGGATCAAGAGGCGACTGCTGGCAAGCCGGGTATTGCTGTGAACGACACTGAAGGGCCCTCTGGTCAGGTCGAGGAAGCTTTGAAAGCTGATTTCTCAGCTGTGACAAAGGTGGCGGAGGTTACAGAGACTACAGCGAGTTTAAAAGCGCTGTCTTCCACTGCGGCTGAGAGTGCTTCGAAGAGTGGTGTTGAGGCGGAAAAGTCTGTGAAGACTCCTTTGGAGGCCTCTACTGAGGCCAAGGATGCTTCGAACAGTGGTGTCTCTGCTGACGACCAAGAGCTCTCGAAGACTCCGTCAAGCTCTTCTACTGAGGCTGAGAGTGCTTCGAAGAGTGGTGTCTTTGTTGAGGAAAATGGGCTTAGGGATACATCAGGGCCTTCTACTGAGGCTGAGAGTGCTTCGAAGGGCAGTCTTACTGCCAGGAAGGATGACGCTACCAGGAAAAACGACGAAGCTGTATATAAAAGTACACTGATTCAGTGGAAAGTGCCGGTACCGTATAATGCTGGGCCAAGCTCGTATACTTTGGCACGAAGCGCCGAACTCGGTAAACCCTAGATCACCACTCCCTGAACTTGCGTTGTAGTTAGTTGTGTTCGTGTTGGCAGTGTAGGCTTCCAGATTCCAAGTTTGAGGGATGTGAAGTTGATATGTGTTCCATTGGTTCTTTTGGATTGTGGTGCGTACACGCTTCTTCTCTCACCATACTGCTTTGTTTGCGCATTAGGGAGTAAGCTCCTTCCTGAAGTGTTAGCTGAGATATCAGATCCCAGTGAGTTGGCTGGAAGCCTTAATGGGTATGGGGGGTGGCGCATGTACGGATAAACACTTTTTCTTCATCAAGTTTTAGGTGTACGCGTGTTTCTGTATTTGTTGCACGTTTTTCCCCTGGATTGTGGTCGCTGTATGCTGCGTTCAGACCTCCGCGAAGAGCCTGAGGCCATAACGGTGATACGCGCTTCTGAGGCGGACGCCTCTCTACTGGATGCAGCGAATGCATTTGTTGCAAAAAGCTGTGAGGGGGCTGTGGATTGCTCACCTAGCCTACTTGGCTCGGATACATTGAGCTTTGTCGGTAAGTCTCTAAATGGCTTTGAGCGTTTCGCTTACTTTTTTTGACCTAGGCGTTCGCAAAGCGAGACACCAAAGAAGGCGAGGAAGGGGGAGAAGAAAGGGTAGTTCGTGGCTTATGTTTCAGTATTGATACTGGCCTACGCCTCCATGTTGAATGGCTTTTGTCTTTGGCACGTGTCAAAAACTGAACCTCCCGCATGTGCGCTTGGGTGCTTCAAAGTGCCGAAACTAAATGGGAATGTCAATATATTCCGCATACGTTTGCTACCACTGTCTTTTTGCAAAGGGTCTACTGGTCATACATTATGTTCGCATCTCGGTCTCCGAAAGGCACAGCTATGAAGAGTATTCTTTTATAACTTCGCCATCGGCTCTCTTATCCCGTTTCTCTCCAGTTCGCCTATTATATTAGCGTGCTGTATGCACGCCTCTCTCGCACAGGGCGCTCGCTCTTTTTTCTTGTGCTAGATTGCTTTTCTTGATGTCCCCCTGTGTGCTCAAACCAACCCCTCTCGTCCATTTGCATCCTATGGCACTTTTATGCTGTCTGTTCGGATTGCTTTGCAGCAACAACAAAGGGAGATCCCCCCCGCATCTTTGGAGTGGCAACTGCCACAATTCTTACTGATGGCAGCTGCATTGCGCGCAGTATGTATGTCGATTCTCAATGTGAAGGATATGCATGTAGGCCTTGCCTCTCTACATTTTGGGCCTATACTGTGGATATACGACTCTCAGTCTACAATTGGTTTTTCGTCCTAGGAAGGGTAGCACAGGTGGCTGATGCAGCAGTGCAGGAGCGATAGACAATGAGGTCGCCCAAAGATATGGGCAAAGCATGGTGGGCACCTGGTACCTATGGATTGAGGATCTGTGTGTGCTTGCTTTCAAATTTCAGTTGTGCTTGTGTATGCGTGCTCCTTCGTACCCCACCTACCCGTAAACGCTCGTTCCCTTAGTTGTCTCACACCACGGCTCCCTACCTGCTGTGCTTTTGCCGTTCTGCAGCTCTCCTTCTGGCGACTGCCTTGCGTGATGCAGCATTGCTCGAACACGAAAGCAGCATGACAGCATTTATTCCCGTTTCGTCTATGGATTGTTGGCAATCCTTTCACGCAGCTGGATTCCACATCACTTGGGCAGGACAGGGCGCTTACGCCATGTCTTGTGATGTACTCTCAGAGCCGAACGCCAACTATGCAAATTTTCTTCAGTGGCAACACTTAGGTAAGACTGCGCATGAGCTTCGTGCTGTTCCTTTGGGTGCGAGGGTGGGCGATCTTTTACCGGGCGAGGGTGGGATATGTTAAATTCGACGGTTCAAAAGGAGCACTGGGATCTAATCATGCGCATTGCTGGTGGGGAGGCAGTATTCAGACAAAGCGCATTCCCCATCTGTCGTCGGACCAGTTTTCTCAGCCGCCACAAATAGCTTTTTTACATTGCGTGCAGAGTACAAGCTTTCGTATTACAATTCTATATTATCTCGCACAGCCGGGAGCGCGGTGCCTATCACGACTCCCAAGAAGGCCAAGGAGTACTCCTTTTTGTATTATACGACACAAATGGCCTCTAGTGTATCTGAGGAACGTCACCTCAGTTTAGCAGAGGTAGGAGGGATGCCAACAACTGCACGAGAGCCGATAGTGACCGGCGGTCCACAATTATTGACAGCCGTCTCTCGATGGGCTACAGATGCGCGTGTGGCTATGCTGGCCGTGTGGTTTATTGTCATTCTCTTCATGGATCTACGGCGTCGGCGGATGTTCGCGGATGACAGCCTGGCTGTACACCCGCCAGCTGTCCACTTTCGACCGCGTTCAACAGAATGGTTATGGCAAGATGCCCCCCCTCCGGCGGAAGACGAGAAGTCGGTGGAACTAGATGACTTTTCCATCTTAACACAAGACTCATCGACTTCCGCGCAATGATCCGCAGACGAGTTTTTACGCATGAGCACAGCCTGAAGTCTACATGCAACCCGGATTGAGCAGCAATGCACTCGGGGATGCAGGCTTCACAGAGGCGACCAAATCGTACTAATGTTTTGTTGAGCGCACTATTCCAACCAGCGCCACTTGTGAATGACGGAATTGAGAAGGTGCGAGTAGCCTTTGAAAGTTGGCTTTTCATTGATCCTCCTTTCGTTTGTGATTTTTACATGTATAAGAACTATGGTGTGAAGGAGAGCTTTGAGACAATACACTAATATAGTGCCCGAGGGTGCGCACGCTGTGAACCCGATTTTCTGCCCGTTTAGCGGTTTCGACTTGTTAGTTACTCATGTGGCCAAGCTGGGGTGAAAGCCGTGAAGAAGTAAAGGAGAACCCTCGGTGTGCATGCTCAATTGCAACATTGCATTTCCACAAGCCCCCAAAGCTTTTTGCGTGGAGTTAGAGCAACGGGGTAGACAAGAGCCTTGAAGAGGTGTGAGGTCAAGGGGCCTCCAGGCAGTCGGGCAAGTCCCTTCGACAAAACCGAGGAATTGCTATTTTTTGCAGCAGTGCTGGATTCAGAGCAATATTAGCAGCCCTTCTGGGGCCAGAGGTGATGATGCCTTAGCTGTATATGCACCACTCAGCGAGTTTCAGCGTAAGGGAGCCGGTTTTGGTGTGATTCAGGAGCAAACCAAACTAGCAGTTGATCCTTGCTCATTGCTAATCGTTCGTAACTCACGTGTACACCTTGTACTCACATACGTATGCATCATCGTTTGCACATGATATACGCATGCGCATGCGCTGAACATTATATTTACGCGAGATTCAAACGGACAGGAATGGCACTGGTTTTCCGAGGACGCTCTAATGTTGCTTTCTTACCGGCCAGTAAACAATGGCGTACAAAACGCCCCCGATAGAAAAATTGGATGCCCAACCTACACCGTCTTGCCTTTATAATTTTCTGAAGGCCTCTAGTGCTCATGCGTCTATCGTGAAGACTGGGCTGCGTCTATCGTGAAGACTGGGCTGCGTCGATCCTGCACGACACACTGTGAATGAATGCGTTGGAGCAGCGAATAAAACGCCAACCACGAGTTGTATTGGCGTGACTTTCTTTTCAGGGATGCGCACGGGTGCAAAACATAAAACGACGCCCCTCGTGGTGGCAAAATCTTGGTCTGATTCTGATTTGTGGACGGTATCTCAACTGGTGGGCCTGAATCCTCAGCAGAGCCTGAATACGCCACACGACCATCTCCTGCTTCGATATAGAGGCATTTTAGGAAACGATGTTACGTTGGCCAAACGATATCGGAAGACTTTACATTGTGCTCCTAAAGACAGCTAACTTTAGGAGCACAATGCTAGCTGGATGTGCAGTCGACGCGCTGCCGAAGCACGCTGCAGAGCAGACGCGAACTTATACAGCGACCCTAGCAGGCTCAGGAGACCTCGCCCTGTTTTGTTCTAGGTAAGCGCGCACTCAGTGCAAGAGCATTTAGCTGCACGCTGCGCAGGTGGGCCTAAGTGGTTGGCGCCGCGGCGCGACTAGTGCATGCCTACGCTCGCTAGTAAACGGTGGAATTGAAACTGTTTTCTAGGCACTGTACCCGGGCCAAAAGGAGAGCTACAGGCGTGTACGAGGCTTTCGAGGGGCACACGCGAAGTCGTGGTACTCAAACTTTCAGCCATAGCGCTAAATACTACAGAGGATGAATCTATGAACGCCTCTGGCCCCGGTGAGGGGAGGTCGCAAAAGTCGTCTTCCACGGCGCCGGCAAGGCCTCTTCTAAACGAACCCGCCGGAGAGCCGCCTGCATGCGCGGTTGAGATAGACGCTAGGGTCGGCACAGCCCAGGAAGGCGTAAGGGCGAGTGTTGTTCCTTGAACGGCCTACTCACCCAGTTGGAGGAAGTGTAGGCTGCCTTTCCTTATCTTCAAGCGTAAGGGACCACGGAGGCATGAGCGTACAAGCATTAACGTCCTCGGGGAGATACGGAGGAAGGCCTGAAGGCACACTTCCTAGAAGATTCTTCCTGCCAAAGGGAGCCCCTCCACCCCCGGCCGGAGCAGCAGCAGCGGCAGCGGCAGCCGCTGCTGAAGCGACGTCGCTGTCTTCGTCCAGCGCTGCGCAAGCGGCTGCGCTCAAACGGTTTTGCTGCAGCAAATCTGCAGCCGAGCTGCTGAACGTCAACGTGTTGGCGAGGCGAGAGAGACGCTGCAAATCCTGTCGCCCGTGAGCAAACACATGTGTACGTACATATATGCACACAGAGAGAGAGTTGTTTGCGCAGACATGCCTACGCCGGATCGCGCCTCTACTCCACAAGTCCGAAAGTACCACGAATCGCAAAAAAGGCGTTCAAAAAGAGTGCTCTCCCCTGTGTTTGCGCCTGCACCCGTCTATCGCCCTGAGGGTTCCCGTGGAGCTTCGGATGTGCAAATCGCCCCCCTCTTACTTGCGTGGACGAAGACTGTGGTGCCTCGAGCTGGAGATACTCCTGCAACGCAGCAGCGGCGTCGCCTTCGTCAATCCGCAAGGGGTGCCCCCTGGGGTGCGGAGGCACCTGCAATGAAAGGCCACTTCTTTGAAGCGCCAGACCACGTTGCTGCCTCTCCTGCGCCACTCCGGTAGCCCTGTAGTCCATTATTTCTGCTGCCGCATACAAAATGCGCAGTGACTCCCCTGCACACACGAAAAGGAGATTGAACGCCGTAGCTCTCATCCGGCACCCCTCCGTAAGAGCCCAGCCCTCGCGCCGAAGGTACCCTCGGCGAGGGCTTCCTCTCGCGGAGAAAAACTGCCGTTCACACATGTGCTTGCATGCGCGATTCTACGCCTCTTACGCTGAAACAAGTCCACGAGCAGGGGGAGCACCTGCGGCTCCAGCTGCTCCTCGCAGCCCGCTTGCAACAGCAGCTGTTGCAAGAGCTGCTGCACTTGCGGAACGACCTCGACGCCTCCCCGACTGTCCACGCAGCTACGGGAGCTCGAGGACGAGGGTGAGACTGTGGCAGCATCCTCCGTTGCAGAGCTTCTACTTGGGGGTTCTACTTGCGCAGAGGAAGCCAGAGGTGCCACACTGGGCGCATGCGCCCCGCCAGCTGCTGTCGGGGGGGGGGAGGGGCCTGCGGCTGCCTCGACTTGCGTTCCACTCGCGACTCCTGCAAACAAACCCAGCCGCGAAGGCGTCGACAGCAGCTGCTGCAGACAACGGCGCATGGAAAAGAAGCAGCAGCACAAACAGCAGTGGCACGCTCGCAGCAGCGGCAGGAGCACAGGCGCCGTTGGACACACGCGGTTGTTCCTGTTTCTGTTGATCTTCGAAGCCTCGTACTGAGGTGCTTCTTGAGGCGTGCACGGGCTGCTGCTGGAGTTGCTGCTGGGGTTGCTGCTGGCGATGAACTTGTGCCTGCTGTTGCTGCGCATGCTTGGTCCAGTCCGCCTCGAGGCTTCCCGTCGTGAGAACGGAAGAAGAGCTTGGAAGACATCCCTGCAAAGGGGGCTGAAAAGACTGTGAAGCCACCAAAGGCTTGGCCTGCAGCGGGCCTGGCTGCTGCTGCTGCTGTACGAACACTTGCTGCTGCACTGCAGGCTGCTGCAGCAGTGGCTGCTGCAGCAGTGGCTGGTGCAGAATTGGCTGGTGCAGAATTGGCTGGTGTGGGAGGCCTACTTGCGGCAGAGGGTGATGCTGAAGGCCTACTTGCGGCAGAGGCTGGTGCTGCTGCTGCTGCTGCAGGAGATGTGGAGTGTGCTGCTGCTGCTGCTGCAAGAGAGGCGGCTGCTGTTGCGGTAGCGGTGGGGGATGCCAGGAAGCAAGACCTGCTACAGCGACTTGGTGGGACAGAGGCTGCTGTAGCAACTGCTGCTGCTGCTGCTGCTGCTGCCACTGCTGCTCAACACCCCATGATTGCTGTTGTTGTTCGCCCCAGTGGCTCCGTGCCGGCTGCTGCTGGAAACTTTGCTGCAGGTGTTGCTGCTGCACTTGTGGCGGTTGGTGCTGCTGCTGCACTTGTGGCTGTTGGTGCTGCTGCTGCATTTGAGGCAGCTGCTGCAGCTGTAACTGCTGCTGCCACGACATAATGGGCTGCACAAGAGGGGGACGGGTGCTGCGCCTAGATGCCCCTGATGGTCCACGCGAGTGTAAAGTTACAGAAACCTATTGGATGGCGTTTTTGTTGGTGTTCCTGCTGCGCTAGCGCAGCCCACAAAAGACATCAATGCGCCATTGGCCACACAGAAACTTGAATTAGGCTCTGAAAGATGGAGCCTTAGAGTTCACATGACAGCACATTGGATACAATGTACAGGGCTTGAAAAAGGAGTGTGCTGGAGGTCGTACGAAACCGACAAACTTCTGAGGCGATCAGCATCGCCGCAACGGGGTCCTTGGGGCCCGACTGCATGCAAGTAATTTGAAGAAGCAATTCAAATAATGCTCTAGTACAAGACGCCAAAGTTTAAGCTTCCACGCGTGCTAAACCAAATTCTTTTGAAACTTGCTGTTTGAACGCCTGGCTGCAGTGTCTACAGGCGCAGCAACACCCATACCCTCCAGGTGAACTGCAAGGACTCGCTGACAGGTGTGCGTGTGTGAGGCTGCACTCACTATTCACTCACTACCGCTTTTTCCTATGACTCTCGGTTTATTTCTTCTATGTACCTGGCTACCAAATTGCGTGAGCCTTTGTGCTCGATTGCATGCTACCACACTGCGCGCTGGTGACGGGCACTCGCGCTAATCTGTGTACGGAACCTGCACACTGGAAACCCTCAGCAGCCCCTTATTCTTTGCAGCCTCCGGCAGGCCTACAGTGCGGAGTCTCCAGCGTCGATCTGCCTTGTGTTCCTTGCACGTATCGCACATTTGGCTAGACTGCTCTCGGTAGGAGCCCATATCAATCTGCCACCACACTGCAACTATAGATAATTAAGACACCAGATGCTCCTGCCGAGGCAGATTACGAGTTTCAAGTATTGGATCGCCTCGACAAGGAGAACATCCATGCAAGCACGTACACACTGAACCCAGAAGCGTCAACGTTTCCTCGAAGTGTGCTCGCAAGAGTAGAGGGTTTCCCGCACCGATTTACAGGCACGTTGGGGAGAAAGACGCCGAAACTCCAGAGATATTGATGACACAAGAACCTGAGGGGCTCTCCCGCGGGCGTTTCCCCATGAATACATTGATCTGATTGCCTCCCCGCTGTATGCTCGCTAAATGGAGTATCGAAGCTCCTTTGGGTCTCTTGTTTCTGCCATTTGCTGAAGTCTATTTGCACTCTGGCTCTCGCGTGCGATGCATTCGCATCTCAATTTTGGCCCCCTGCCTCTGTTTGATGATGGGCTTATTGCCCAGGCCCTTTGGGCGCCTCGCTTTGAAAATCACTCAGCGAACGATGCACTGCCCAAGAAGAAAAGCGAGCTTGACCAATACGCAAGGCATGAAGGAAAGAGCTGTCTACGAAAGAGGGGACCGCCAGCATGAAGGGCCCGCCAGAGTAATTGCCCGTTTGAGACAGCGGACCGCATCGCAGGTGTCTAGACACTCTAACCCCGCATCTGCGCCCCCAGCTGCTGTAGCGTCTGCTACACATAATCCAGTTGAGGTTAAATTACAAAATTCTCGTATTGCGCATCCTAGTTCTTTTTAGCGGATCCTCCACCAGTGGTGCCCATTCCCATGGCAGACTGAACGCAACGCACAGGTGTCAAAGTTACAGCTTCATAGGCACACTCAGTAGTGATTAGCGCTTGCGGCTGTGGCCTCTACACCGCGCCTCTCCTTGCGCTGCATCAAGGACCCCTACCGAGAGTCACAGAAATATAAGGAGCGCACACTCAGATTCGAGATTTACCTTAAATGTGTCGTAGATCCACCACTGAAGACCAGTGAGCGTGCCGATCATCAGCACCCGAGTGCCCAGCCCTTTGGTGAACAATTTAGTGTATCCCATCTCCCTTGCCATTTGTCCAAATCTGAATCGCAACACCCCAGAGCCAGGCCTCTCCTCTGACCGTGCCACTAGGCACAAAGCCTGCATCCCTCTTTTACATGACACGGCACTCCTCTATCAGCACGACGCACGACCCAAAACACCCCCATAGCTCTCACTCACCCTTTGCCTTTGTTTTCAGCCTTCCCCATGAGAGACACCAGGGAGTCTGCGGGGTGCGACACGACCGCACAGATGACGCCTGCCATATACCCTGTAGGAAGGCGCAAACACACACGTAGACCATGCGTAGAGACATCCATTTGTGTGCAAATTGAAGCGCCTCTCCAGATAGGGCACGCGCGAATAGGTGGAGTGGTTCTGTATAGCCAGCCTCCCAGTACACCCTTCTTCGCTGTGCCATCTTGGCTATGCTCGATAAAGACCTCGCTCAGGCCGCCACGCCTTTTCACGGGCCCTTACAGAAGCCATCTTACCGGATGCAAATGTAATGCCCAGCTGAGTCCCTTTGCCGTAGGTTTCCTTCGGCTGCGTGAAGACCTTATCATAAAACATCTGGACGACTTTCTCGAAGAAGTAGAACTTGGCCATCGTGTAAGGGATTTGTCGGCTCCACAGAGGAACCACGGACCCAAACTGCAAGAGAGACGCACCAAGGGAGTCTCAGGGATTATGAGCTTTCGCGTGTGCAAGTATCCGCCCAAGTGTGCATGCACATGTAGATAGTTGTGAATGGCTGAAAAGAATTGAGTAGGTGGGGAGGGTCTCTGAGGGCGCAAGATCCCGCAACCTGCTGCGGCGGTAGGAAGGGGGGAGGGGCCGACATGCGGGTTCTATGATCTTACCGGAAATTTGGTATCGCGTCTCATTTGAAGCATTTTGCTGGTTGCTGGCAGAAGGCTGGTAGGCCATGATCCTTGAGGACTTGTTTGCACCTTGACTTTGACCATCTCCATTGGGCAGAGAGCCACATCGGCAAACAGTTCGGCGGAAGCGGAAGCAGCCAGCCAAACAGCGCCCTTGTTCTTGGCATATGTCTCTTCACCAAAAAGGTTGCCGTAGAAATCCTTGAAAAACTCGTACATACCGAACTTCACCATGCCCTGCATACTGTAACCAATGAACGTTGGAGCCCATCCGAGACGCAGGCCCGCAGCTCCTTCCTCCCCCAAGACCGTCTTGAAACCCGAGATCAGACCCCTGTACTTGTCTGGATACACTTGCATCTTGCACTTCACGACGTCTACTGGGCAGACTGCGGTGTGCGTCAGGCCGCAAGAGAGCACGCCTCCCAGCATGCACTTGCTGTAGTATTCCGTCGTATGAGGCATGACGTGTGGCTTGCGGGTCAAGGGGTCCGCATATCGCGCATCCCAAGGGCCCCGCAGGGCAGCAGGGGGGGACGACGAGTCTCGTTCCGCAGCCATCTTGCGGCGAGCAGACACAGTCGGGAAACGTACAGGAGGAAGAAAGGGGAAGCAAGAATGGCAGAGGGATGTGCGAGAAGACTGCAAGGTGCGGGGAGGACCCATACTGGGAGCAGTCCGGCAAATCCTACCCACCCGACACACAGCCCTAGAGAGTTGAACGGCATGCTGCATGCGCAAGCGGAGGCAGGACCAGCCTCTTCCCTTCTACCCAACGGCCCCTTAACTGATCAAAAGGATAAATACTACACTTTAATATCTTTGGTTCCTTTTTAATTGTATGACCGTGAAAATTGAGACTCCAGAGTGCTCGTCCTAACCACCGAGTTTCCTGCCAACGTACACACACATCGACTCCCATGGAACAGGCAACCCTGCACTCCATGATTCCAAATGTGCTCTCTTTGAATTTAAATTTACTAAACTGCAATGCCTAGCCCTACTCCACACACACAACAAAGTTTATCAGATTTAGTGTTTGTGGGCAATAGGATCTAGTCAGCATGTTGCTGCCAAAGGCCCGCCGTATCCTGCGGCCTGTGCGCATGCAAGATCTTCCCACTTCCTACTCCACGTGGGAGAGGATCAACAGCGGGAGCCACTGCCGTAACTACAGCCATCCATCTGCAGCAGGAGATTCTGCGGCAGCTTTCCATCGCAAGTCCCTTGTTTCGCATCCCGCGTCTCGACGGACAGCAGTACTCGCTGCAACAGCAACACCAGCAGCTTCAACCGCAACAGCAGCCACAGCAGAATGGCGTAGGGGAGCTGCTTCCTTGTCAGCTGTTGCAGCAGCCCAACAGTACACCCGACTGTACGATGCCGAGTTTCTACCGCGGCGCCTTCGACGGATCAAGGTAATGTTCAAAGCTCCAAAAAACAACCTCTCTTCAGGGCCAGCCTATTTAATAGCATCCACTACTACTACATTATAGAGAACCTGGTTTACATCTAAAAGCTACGGGTCCCCTAGGGTCGATGTGTAGCAAGCATCTTAGCTCTCATTCCGAGTTTGTGGTATGTGCCAAAGATCTTCTCTTCCCGTCCACCCGAGGAGTTGAGTACCTACTTCCATGAGAAACTGAACAAGGCCAACTCGAATCCTCGCTCCATCATCAAGTAGGCGCAAAACTCTTAACTTAATCTCTAATCTATTTCGTCTGGCTCTGCGCTGATTGAACCCCCTCCAGACGCCTTTCAGCTACCCGTACACTGCGAAACGCTGTACGAACGGGCCTACGCACTGCACAATTAGTAGCGCTGTCGTGTCGTGTATTGTTCAGGCTGTACAGGAAGTATATCCGGCTTGAGGATGAACCCGATTACGGGTGGTTGGTCCGGTGTTTCTGCCAATTAGGCAATGTCTTTGGCTTCAACTCTTTCTGGTACGTGTCCTCACGAACGCGCAAATTGGTATTGCCGCAGACCTCTTAGCAAAATATGCATGCACAAGGCTACTGCCGCGTGTGCCTCTCCTCCTGTTCACCCCGAGAACCCGGATTAAGCAAGGCGCTTCGCTGAGTGATGGCTGCAAGCTTTGTGGCGGCACGTATTTACGGAAGCTGCGTAATCCAAAGTCTTCCTTCCAGTCAGTGCACCTGGCAGCTTCAGTCCAAAGCTCTCATAGTTTCTGCATTGTGGTGCACGGTAGGGCTCCACGCGACAAGCAGCGGATCCACTCGCTCCCGAGTTTCAAGTTTCTGGTGTATGACCTCATCGAACGCAAAGCCCAGATAGAGGTAATAGGGCCATAGATTCACGGTTCATGACAATCAGGATGGGAGCGTTCTTGAGCCTTTGATGTTGTGGGGTTTCTAAATGTACGGCGAACGGCATTTAATGGCGGGGAGGGGGTGCCTGAATGTCTGTGCAGCCCGAGATGGTGCCAAGATTGCTTTATGCTTTAACGGCATTGGAGTATCGGTCCTACCACCTGCTGCCGACGCTTCTTGAACACATCGAGGCCAACCTGCATGTACAGCCCGAAGCCTGTAGCACTGATCGCACGTTCCAAAGGTTTCAGCCCCCATAGCTAGACACTACTCTCCCGTAATCGTTCTGCGGCTGCAAAATGGTCCTGCGGTTGTCAAAATTTTGTTTCGCTGGTGCTTTCCCTCTTCTTTCTTTGTTTCTCTCTGTCTCTCTTCCGCAGCGCTGGCGTGTGCCCACTGCCTGCAACATGGCCCTCTGTTTGGCACTCCTAGGAGTAGGAGACGCTACAGGTAGCCCAGCCAGCAAAGACTGCTGTATTCTCTCAGCCTCTCCTCCTCCTTCTCCAGGTGTCTGTACACCTTGCGTCCAGTGCCTTTCTTGCGTAGCCTTTCGTCTCGCCTGCAGCCTTCGGCGCCGCCCGACGGCTGCAACCGATACGAAAGCCCCCGTCCGTTGTGCATGCGTGGAACATAATTTTGTGCCGCCTAGCGTTTCCCTTTGTCGCTTTCCATGGTCCTGCCTGCCCGCCTCTCTTCTTATCCCCCCTCCCCTCCCCGCCTGCGCGCTCGCTCTGCCATGAATATGCCCCTCTGTAAAAGAATTGCGTCGTACCTGCGCGCGGTGCTGTTGTCTCCCCAAGGCAACAACGCCTTTGGCCCTATTGACGGACTGTCGCGGGATTACTCTGGCGTCATCGCACGCCTAGCGCTGCACGTCTATGACTGCCTGAAGCTTCCCCTCACGCTGCAGGAGCAGATGTCGCTTGCAGCGGCTGCAGCCGAAGAGCGCGGAATCAGCCCCGGTGCCCCTCTGGCGCCCACCCTGCAGCCGTATTTAGACGAATGTGGCTGCACACCTTTCGATAAGGTGGCTTTGGCCTACGCGCTCGCGCTAACCAACCAATACGAATGGTAATTGCATAGGGGGACAGCAGTTCTCGCCATTTTCCCGTCAGTTTCCTTTGTGCAGATGCCACTCCTGACCTCCGCTAGCTGTGCAACTCTGCCATTCGCGGGATTGCAAGCTTTCGAGAAAGCACTTGTCATGGAGGCCTGTCACGTGGCTGGTTGTCTTCTGTCTGTGCTCGGGTTTGCACCTACTCTCTTGCATGGGAGTCTTTTTTGCCTCTCTGAGTGCAGCGGCGCGTCCGACAACAACGCTCAGAAACCTCCTCCTATAGCGTTTTTTCTCGAAAGCGCGTGCCAACAGGCAAGTACTGAAAGCAGAAGCTGCAATACGGTAGTCACGTATACACCGTAGCGCAGGAGGACCTCCAGCCGTGCAAGTGTCTCTGCCTCTACTTAGACCTTTACTGTGAAACCAACTGCAGTGTACGTACATCAGGTGAATCCATGTATGGATGCATATATGTATGGATGTATGTATGAGTGTGTGTGTGTGTGTGTATGTGTGTGTCTGTCGATATGTCCGTCTGCCTGCCTGTGCAGTTATCAGAGGAGACACTGCAGCACAGCGGATGGTTGCAGCATTATTTGTACAAGATTTTGTATCTCGCAGATGTCGAAAAACCCCAATCAGCGGAAGCAATCAAACGGTAAAGCGAATTGGCGTGTTTCGTTTGCTTCTTTCGCATCGTATTCAGGCACCTTCTTGCATCTTCGTCGCTGCGTTTTATCGGGCTTTTCCTGTGCATACTGTGCTGCTTCCTGCCCTCCGTCCTTTAACCTCCCCGACACCTTGTCTCTCGCATTTATATAGGAGGGGTGCCTGCCTGTTGAGAAGACTGGCGGACTGCTGTTCAATCCTGTGTGCTCAGCGCGGTGCCGTTCGGACTCCAAAAGAGCTTGCACTTGCGATGGCTTGATGGCATTCTGCTAAACGGGCAGCCGCAGGTAAGGGCTGTGGTCGTTGTCGTGGATATCTAGCTAATTGTAAAAATACGCGAGCTGCGAAGTCGGAAGGCGCAGGGCAGCGCCAAGCGTTGGCACCCCCGTGGACGTTCCTGGCAGCTATTCGATTGCTCGGAAGGCTAGTGGCTGCAAGCTGAACATCGCATTCAGTAGCCCTACCTCTTCGTCCACACTGGAGTATTTTTTAGCGCAGTTATTTCTATAGCGTGGTCGCATCTTCGCGTTGGTTCAATCCCCTCGTCTCATCGCATTTCCTGCTGTACACCCCTTGCCACAAGTGCTGTCTCTTCGCCGATTTTCAGGGCAGCGAAGATCTACAGAGTGATGTTTTCTCGTGTTTATCGCGCCTGAACTGCGTTTCATATTTGAACTGCTCACTGGGAAGGCCCGACGACGAGCAGCACCTCTTCTTCGCTTCGCTGCTGATTCGGCAAAGGAACCTGGCGATCGAGACAGACTACCTCATGCCATTGGGTATGACGGCACGAGTACAGCCGGGAAGCTTTAGGTCTATGGGCAGAAAAGCCATCCTGCTTGCTCTTTCCTGCATGGCCGCGCAATGCCACGCGCGCATTCGTGGCAACGGCACATCTGTTGTTGCTGGGGGTTCGGGTGATGAAAACAAATTTCGTGTATTTTTTCCCTAGGAGGTTTGTCGATGGTGAGGCTGCAGGTCCTGGCCGGCCCAAGCCTTCTGGATTGGTTGGGTGTAAACAAAGGCTCTTTTCGAAATTTGGAGTCAACGTTGCAGTGATACACAGGTGATTGGCTTGTGGCTGTTGACAGTTTTACAGGGGGTATACCGCCGTGCCTTGGGTTGTGGGGTTTTTGCCGCTGTATGTGGGGTGAGGTGGGGGGGTGGGGGGGATTCTGCAATCCACGCCACAGTACGATATGCGTTTTCCTCTGGCTTCCTTCTTGATGCCGTGCAAAGCATGCAAATCCATGATTCTGGCCACTGTTGGTTTTCTATCTTTCCCTGCGTCAACCGCTTTATACGGTTTACGCATATCTATTCATTGGCGATGTTTCAGGTGCCTGTGGGATCGCCTCTCGTTTGAGCAAAAGGATATTCAGATGAGTCGTCTGCTCTCACACTTCTCAGAAGTCCTTCAGCCACCGACACCCGAGGCTCCCCGATACAGCGAAGACAAAGGACTGCGATTTATGAGGCACAAAACGCAAAAGTTTGAGTCCTGGCCCCCCGATAAGATCGAAATCTAGGCGGAAATGCGAATCATGTCTTTTGCTTGTTTGGTCAGCGCATGCACCCTTTTGCAGTAAAGTCTTCCGGTATCCTGGCGCTCCTCCGGGAGCACAATCGCCACGAATCTGGTGCTGCTAGCTATGCAGCTGTTTTTTTGAATGATCGCCATGTGTACATTGGGGCGTTGGCTATAGGGCAATGACGGGAGGGTTCTCGGCTTGTTTCCTGCGGCCATAGCTGGCGAGTTGGCTGCGAAGAACGGAACTGAGGGGCAGACGCAGTGAAACAAGGAAAAGGTCACCTGAGAGCTCATACCGCGAGCTTAAGCTTCTGATGTACCAGACGTGCTGTCAACGTGCAGCCCGTATCGGTTGATATCGGTTATGCTCTAAACATTGCACCAATGCAACCCCTCTGCGGGTGGGTGCCTTCCTGGGGGCTCTGCCACCGTATCTAAGCCTAAGCATGGCATTTATCTTTCCACCTCTATACAGAATGGGGTTCCTTATAGTCTGGTTCTTATGGTTGATCCCTGGAGCGCTCCTCTTCTTCAGCATGTCTGTCGACTTCCTCGTGCAAATGCATACAGCCTATTCCGTATTCTGTGTGCACTGCCTCTAGATCAGCTCGCACCCCATGAAGGTCGGTCGAGGGGGCAAAGTACACTCCTCAAGGCTCAATACGCCCCCCCCAAGCCGCTACTCCCGAAAACGACACCGAAATCACTTAGCGAAGTGGAAAAGCTTCCGATTCCACCCCTTACGTAGCTGCATATTCGTTCACGCCCATATTGCATTTAGATATTCATCTCTGCATACAGTTGTATCTGCGTCCCTATGATTATGTGTTCATGTAGGGGGGTCTTACTCTACGCAAAAACCCCTGTAGCGCGGCGCGTGAACACGTATAATCGCATGTAGATAGATGCTCGACACTCCGCAGAGTGCAGAAATATCTATATATATATGATGCGGACGTCAACGTTTGTCCGCATGCATGCTGTGGACCATAGAAAACAAGGGCAACGTCTGCATGAACCACACACCGCGGGTTAGCAGTGAAGACCCTTGCGATAGAACCATACCGACACACTGGGTCCCCTACACTCCAAGGACCTCCGTTTAGCAGGCACCTCTTGTTTATAATACGCTCCAGAAAGGGTGGCAACCTCTTCTGTCAGTCGTTGTGGGGTAGGTATGAAGTGTAAAGCGCATGAACTCCTTAGTAGGTGTAATGCCGGACACCCAGACTGCCGACCTCGATGTGCCGCATTCGATTCCAGTGTCTCTCAGATGTGTTACACGTCTTCACATGCGTCTTGCACTGTTCTGGTCTGCTTGATTTCCTTCTCGAGCGCCTTCATGAACTCATGCGTTGCACCGCCAACCGGTGTCAGGCCCGCCTGGTGATGCCACACAGACATCCACCACCCGGTACTGGAGTGCCGTTTGAAGGCCACGCATTTAAAAAAACAACGGAAGCCGACAGCAGTAATTAAAAAAGCTCAGCTTGATAAAAGATACGAGAGAAGAGCAGGTCGATTGATATATATATATGCATTAACAAAACTGCAATCGCAGGGGTAAACGGGCAGACCCGTTGCAGTCATCTGGAAACAGCGCACCGCATTTTTCTCATTTTCCAGCTGAGGGGCCATTTGTGCAACTTCCCAGTAAATGTCGGCTCTCCCAGCGCTCTGCAACCCACACACGCACAAAGGGTTTACGCCCCTCACGGGTGTGCCCGCGTGGCAACGGCGCTGTTTGAGGCGTGGCTGTGTCATATACGAAAATGCATATAGACATATATAGGTGCATGTGTATTTTGGGGTGGAAATCTATGAATGGGACGGCCAAAATTCATTGGCACTCGCGTCTGGGGCACGCTGACCACCGCTAAGTGAAGGAGATTATCGCCTGAGCCTGTTTCTTTCACCTGCGAGGGCCACACCCGCAATCCATCTCACACAAATGTGCGGATGTAGGACGTGAGGGGGTGTCTGCTCTGGCTGCTCGCCTGTACCTCTGGTTCACGTGAGAATTTGGGGTGAAACACGTACAGCAAGGTCGATTCCAGGAACGGCAAGAAGCCGCGTTACGATAGGCTTCCTTCCAGCAGACACAGCTCGGGAGATGGCAGTGTGCTGCACGGCACCACATCCAAAATCTTAGTATTTTCAAGGTCATGTAAGTACACGACGTTGGTCCTCCGTAGGCCAGCACGTCAGAGAGAGTTTACATACAGACTACAACAGAGCCCTAGGCGTACGTTTCCGTAACCCTTGGTGTTAATATCTACGCCATGATGCAGCAGCAGTTCAACAACATCAAGATGTCCTGAAACGACACCCGCACCAAGAAATTTCGCAGGATGGAATGCAGGCGTTCCGTAAATCATAGACCGAACATGCCGGTGGATGTACGGGCTCTTATGATTTTTTCCGATTTCAGTATTTGCCCTATTCACAGCTGTCTGTTTCGCTTTTCCGGTGTCGCATTCCTAGATGCAGTGGAGCTGATGAATACCTTTAGAGGCGGCGTACAACAAGGGAGAACCCCCAGACTCAGTAACCATCGAGGTGAACTGTGCCTTCTGCTTGGCATTGGAAACTGCGGCCAGGAGGAGCGAGACAGCGCCCGAAGAGCCAACAGAGCATCCCACGTGAAGCGCTGAAAATCCACACTGTGGCACAAGCCCAACGAAGAAAAACGCACAGCCCCTCGTCCATTGGACACACGGCAATTCCATAGAGATGCACCTATGCACAACAATTAGTGAAATGCAAGAAACACGCTAAGCGGTAAAGAGTCTGCTGACTTCATCTGTAGCCAAAGGGTCCACTCCACAGTCTAGGAGGAGCTTCAAAGACTCTTCATCATCTGCTGCCGCTGCCATGTGTAGCAAGCTCCGTCCATCTTCGTTCCTTGCGGAAGCAATAAATTGCTTTAGGGCGCTCTCAGATCCCTGAGAACCATCCGCTTTCGACGAAGCTAAGGCACGCAAAAGGAGGGAGGAACCGCTGCCTCTTTCCTGTGGCGCCACAGACGACAAGCAACACAGGAATGCGGACTGTATATACAACACCAGAGCTTCGTAATCTCGAGAAGAAGATGAAGCGTCCATGCGCATGACTGCGCTTCTGCGTGTGCGCTGTATACTATTCGGTGTGTCGGTCCTATTGTTCCATATAGATGCTTATGATATACGGGTTAGGGGTAGGTAAGTACGATGGACATGAACAGTTCGTCTTTTAGGGCCTCTGAAGGCTGCAAAGGTTCGGAAGCCTCCATTTTGGTGCGTCTTCTTCTAGAAGGAGGCCGATGGTTGTCGCTAAGATGACGTAGTTGTGTTTCTGTTGATGCTGTTGAGTTCGATGCTGGAGCGGCGGCCGATGCCTTCGTCTCTCGTTAGCTGGAAGGTGGTGCTTTCTACACACCTTACGAGAGTAGCAGAGGTGACAAAGGCACGGCCGAGTTGCAGTGTTGCAATTGGCGCGCAGTTCTCGTCACTGTCGCAAACTAGTTGCTAAAACTCGCAGTTGGTGAGCGCGCTCGTGCTCATGCCGATCCTGCGATGCGTGCTGGCCGGCGCCAGAGGAATCCTTCCTGCTATGAGCGCGCAAGGCGCAAATACACCTGGGAGACAGAAATACGCACCTTCAAGAATTTCTGAAAAGAATTCTTGAATGTCTGGCTCAAGGAGAACCCTCGGTGTAGCATAGGTGCTTGCAAAGGCAACAGCCCCGAGCAGCAACAGCAACTGCGTAAGCAAGCAGCCAGCAGCAAGCGGCTTTTTTAGAAAAAATATTGGAGCCTATAGCGCTTTCTTCAGGATCCCCTTCGGCAAGCCTTAAGGCTGAGCATTTATACCACCGCAGCGTCGATACGGGGAAGCTCCTCATCCCCTGAAGAGCTTATCCGACTCCCCAGGAACAGCAGGAGAAGTTAGGGGCCCCTGGGGCCCCTCCCACCGTTCGGGTTTTTGAGGCATCCGATGCCTTTGGCTGTTCGCCAGAAGCGGAGTTTTCCTTTAGCGGCTGTTGGGCTTCAACACCACAGGCGGTGTGTATATCGTACCTCCGCTGGCAGTGCTGCTGGTACTAGGACTGGGACTGTTTGCGCTGCTAGTACTCGTGAATGCTGCATTAGGAACAAGCGCTCCCTCCTCTTGGGGAGCAGCAGCACCTCCTCTGCGGCAGCAGCACTGGCGTCCGCTGAGACACTTCCAACAACAGCCACCCTGGATACAGCCGCAGCGGCCGTCACTTGTGCACAATACCAGCAACAACAACAATAACAACAGGAACAGTTACGCCACCAACAACAACAACACCCACACCAGCAAGCGCAACAATAGTAGCAACAACTACAAGAACACCAACAACAACAGTAACACCAACAACAGCAAGCGCAACAACAATAACACCAACAACTACAAGAACACCAACAACAACAAGCGCAACAACAATAACACCAACACCAACAACTACAGTAACAACAACCCCGTAATCGGAGTACCACAAGTACCACAAACAGCTAAAGCAGCAGTGGAGTCAGCGAAAACGAACCGCAATGAGGCGCATTTGGCCTCCCCGGGTGTCTCTCCATGTCGGCTCGCGACTAACCACCCCTCAGGGGAGGACTGTGAAGTATTACGCGTGCCCCCTAGTAGGGGGGAGCTCTATTGCAGAAGGTTTACTGGTAGGAAGCCTTGCGCAGAGCCTTGCCTTGCTGCGTATGCGCTCCCCAGCAGTGTCCATACAGCCGGCAGGATGGACGGCTGGCAGCTTTACCGCAGCAAACACACAGACGGAAGCGAATCGGCGCTATAGCTCCTCTGCAGAGCTGCAACAAGAAAAGCTGCAAGCTGTATCACCGCAAGGAGTCCCCTTGAAAGAATCTCAAGAAGAGACGCGAGAGCTTGTGCCTCGTGCGTTTCGGCGTGACGCCTACCGATATCTGCAGGAAGGCATGCTGCTGCAGCAGCTGCAGCAGCTGCCACACTTTAGTTGGCGCACTTTGCTGCGAGTGGTGCTGCTGCTGCTGCAGCACCCTGAGCAGCTCCGTGAGGCCGATTTGTTGCTGCTGCCGGCTGCAGCTAAGCGTCTGCAGTTGCAGCATTTTAGGATAGTGGATATCGCTGCAGCAGTGGCTGCAAGCATGCCAAGCGCGCGCTTTGCTCCTCTGCAGGAGCAGCAGCTTCAGCAGCTCCTGCAATCCTTGCAGCTAGTGGAACCTGCGGCCAGGAGCAGCAGCAAGATGAGCAGCAGCAGCAGCAACAGCAGCGGAACGCCGCTGCTGTCGGATTTTGTGGCTGCGTTTGATGACTGGCCAGTGCAGGCGCACTCTTTTCATCAGCATGCGCTGCAGCGGTTCTTTTTGGCAGCAGCAAAAAGCAGCAGCAGCAACACCAGTGATGATGTGTTGCTGCTGCTAGATGCCGTGGGTGCGACAGCAGCAAAGGGAGCCTTGAAACGCGTTGAAGTCCAGCAGGAGGCGGCTTTGCTGCTGCTGCTGCTGCTGCAGCGTCTTGTCGCTGCTCGCGCTGCAGAGCAGTGGCCTCTTCTGCCTCCAAAACAAGGCAGCAGCAAAAGCAGCAGCGTGTTAGGCGCTTACATTGCCCTGAGCAAACTGCCTCGAGTGTGGTCTGTGTGCAGTTCCGTCATCAATGCTCCCGCTGACAACGCGGAGTTGCAACTGAAGCCGCTTCTGGAGATGTTGCTGCATCAGCAGCGCGAGCAGCAGATGCAGCAGCCGCTCGAGAATGACTGCCTGCTGCAGACGCAGCTAGAGGATCTAGCCGCAGATTTGGCTTCGCATGCGGAACACATTCAGGCACCCGAGCATTTGTCTGCCCTTCTCGTCGCAGGTGCAGCAGTGCTGCAGCGGCACTCCGATGTACAGACACCAGGAGCTTGCGGAGTGACTACTGCTGCCACAGAGAAGTTGCTGACACGTCTAATGCCGCAGCTCGGGCAGGCGTGTGCGCACGCTGCGTCTTCCGAAGATAAACAGCTCCTGCTGGCTGCTGCTGCTTGCTTGCCGAATACGTGGCTCCCTGCTGCATGCTCTGCTGCCCTTTCGCCTGCACAGTCCCATGGGCAGCTGCAAACGCAGCAGCTCTTGCTGAGTCTGCGTTTAGCCTCCGAAGGAACGGCTGCTGCTGCTGCAAGTGCTGCTGCAAATGCGGCAAAGCGAGGCCTGTACGGCGCGCTGAGTACACCACGACGGCTCGCACGAAGCACAGCAGTCTATGCAGAGAGGCTGCTGTCCTCGTTGCACCCTGCGCATGCAGACTTAGGAGCAGCGGAAGGGGGAGCCGCTGTCGAAACGGCAGCAGTAGCGGTGCACGTTTACGCGGCAGTGGCTGCTGCACGGCACCGGCTGCAGATGCTGCTGCAGATGCTGCGACAGATGCTGCGACAGCCCCTCATCAGGAGGTCCATGAAGCTTCCCGTTGCTGCTTCTCTGCAGCAGCGAGGACGACGCATTCAGCAGCAGCGCTGCACAGCCATCGTGTGCAGTCGTCTCAGCGCACTGCAACGCGTGGCGAGAGAACGTATATCGGGAGCTACAGCAGGAGGAGGCAGGGCCGAGGCTCCCCCTCTTCCCGCATCGGCCCTTGTGCTGCTGCAGCGCACTGCAGCAGCAAGCCCTCTAGCCTCAGGGGAGGCAGCATGGGCAGCAGACATCGTGTGCCGCTGCGGAACGTTAGTCGATGTTGCCGCTGCCTTGCGAATCCACGCAACGCAAGCCGTTGCAGCTGCGGCTGCTGCTGCCTACCCCCTCCCTGCAGGCACGCGCACTGCGCGGGGTCCTTGGCCACGCCACTTGCGCGCTGTAGGAACTGCAGCAACTGCAACAACTGCAACAACTGCAGAAACTGCACCAACTGCAGCATCACAAGCACAAGAAACACGTGCCGGCACTGCGAAGGCAGAGGGGGCACCGATGCAGCAGCAGGAGCTGCAGCAGCAACAGCTCCAGCAGACGCACCATGCAACGTTGCCTCCTGCAGTGGCTTTGCTCTCTGCACACCTCGGGGAAAGGCTTCGAACCCTCGAGGAGGCCGTACAGAGTGTGTGCAAGCCCCCAGGAGGAAGTGCGCAACATCTGGCGTCTCTGCAGCAGTTCCTGGTGCATCGCACCTCCCTGCTCTTGCGAGAACAAGATATTCCTACGCTGCCTATGCTGCAGCTGCTGGGTTTCTCGAGCAGCAACTACCTCGAAGGTGGTGCACGCGTGAAGCCTATGCGCACCGTAAAGCAGCATCTTGCCGCTGTCTGTCAACAGCTGGGCCGGGCAGCGGCAGCAACCGACTCGTACTCGCACCTGCACGTTCAGCAGCAAAAGCAGCAACAGCAGCAGCAGCAACAGCAGCAGCAGCAGCAACAGCAACAGCAGCAGGCAGAGCAACGGCTCCGCTCTGCGCGGTGTGCGTTGCGACGCCAACGGAAGCAGCAGGCGGCCGTCACGCAGCTGCAGGCGCTCCTCTTAGTGCAGAAGGACTTGGGGAAAGCAGCACGGAGCTGTCTGTACACCTCGGTGGTGCAGCGTCCCGTGCAGCGCAAGGGGTTCGTTGCTCCGTGTGAAGGGGAGGTTCTGTGGCTGCAGCAGCAAGCCATCAGAGTTTTCGAAGCCTCTGCTCAAGAGCAAGGGCAGCAGCACCCCATGGACATCCAGGTTGTGCAGCAAGAGGAAAGGCCGCAGCACCATCAGGAGATGCAGAAACTGCTGAATCAGATGAGGGCGGGAGTGTCACCTGTCTCTTGGAATACCAAGAGCAGCGCCAGCAGCACATCCAGAAGTGCTGCTGCTATGCGGATTGCTGCAGTCGAGTGACCTCTTTCTATGGGCTTCTGCAGCTGCTAATGTTCTCTTGACGCCTGGTGCACTAGCGGCACATCTATTACCACTTTCGTGTCTCTGACGTGGCCGCATACCTCCCCGTTACATCGGGGATGCACCGGCAGCTTCGAAACGTACTACCCCTTTGGCGGTTGCATGCCGTGCTGATGTGCTCGACGGCGTGCAGAACACTTAGAGTGATACAGATGCACCAAGACCAAAGCGTGAAACGTTTCGTAGGACACCTAAATTTTGTGTACACACATATTCGAGGCATGAGTAAAAATAGGGGTAGCAGCTACTTAGCGTTTGGAGATGTTGGCTTCCAAATGCACGAAGCGTGCGCAGACAATTCAGCTTTCACAAAACAACCTTACCCCACCACCTAAGAGCAGCTACCTCATGAAGTGAGCCTCTCCATGTTTACTTTTTGGTGCATTTATACAAAAATATGTAGATAAATGTCGTCCTGCATTGAGGATATACCTGATGATTCGCAGTGTTCAAGCGCATCTGAGTTCAGTTACTGCATGGATATCTGTATGCTTACGCATACGCAGGTATATTCTGGGACCACCAGTACGTGCAGGTGTGATCAATGTGATTTCTGTCATTGTTTACCCTACTAGAATCTGCTTCTCTGCTTAACACCAAACAAACTGCACCACGCGGGCATTTGCGCCAGCAGTTCACTTACAGAAAGCGGGCTGACTGCCCGTCTTAACAGCTGGACGGCCACCCGACTCTGGGAGTAGAAAAGGGTTGCAGGACGGCAGATGAAGCAGTGCTGCTCTATTTCGAGGCTCAGGCCTCAGGACAAACCCTCTCATATCCGAGAGCACACCCCTAATTGGCAACGGAAAAAGAGAACTGCTGTTACAGCCGGTATTCCTGATGAACTTGCTGCTGCTACGCGTTACTTGCCTCTGCATTTTTTGTGCGACTTGCATGTTTGGACGGTGCATACAATTGCCGGTCTGGGCCTGCAAACGGTCCTGTACGTGATCTGCTCACACGGGACTTGCTTCTGCATGGTGACATTTCTATAGCAGGTCTTCGGTAGCGTTGTTTGCTGCAGCACGCACTCATTTTGGAGAACTGTTTTAGTGCAAGGATACGCCTCCTGCCGTATGACCGGCTTCCTGCAAATGGCGGGGGCTGGTACAGAGACTTCAGCGCACCGCTGTTCACTGCATAGGCCAGGAACCTCTTTCTGCACTTCCCTGTAGCATGTTTTTGAAACAAAGGTACACTGCTTTGCCTTGACGATTTTTTCGCATGTGTATGTCTCCTTCTGTTGCACCAGTCTGGTGCAGGTCGCCTCGTAAGGAATTTTCTGCTTCTTGCACTCAGTTCGCGTTTCGATTTCGGTACAAGGATACGGCTGCTTCTCTGGAACCTCCCTAGTGCAGGTTGCGGGAACTAGGACCTCTACCTTTCTGCATTGTCGCCTTACTGCCGCTCGTGTACAGGGGTAAGGGGCCTCGTAAGGAACTTCTCGAGTGCACGTACTGGGCACTGGCACGCTTACAGTGGTGCACTGCTGTTGCTGCCGCGGCTGCATGCAAGGATACTCCTCTACAGCCGGCACCTGTCGTTCGCACGTAGCCGGTACTTCCTTGGGTACTTTTTTGCACACTTTCTTGTATTCTGTCCGTTCACAGGGATACGTTTCCATGACGGGTGGAGGCTCAACACACGCGGGTTGCTTGCCCGCCTCAGAAGACTCACAAACGGGTCCCCGCATCTTCTTTTTCTTCTTATGTCCACTTAAACGCCGCTCTAAAGCAAGGTCTTCTTCAGACACTACCGTTTCCCACTCCTCATGGTCTGCGCTATCGGTGAAAACTTCCTCCGTCCCCCAATCGCCGCTTTCATTAGGGTTCCCAAGCGGTAAGTCCTCTAAGGCCTCTTCATCAAAAGACTCAGTCCCATCCAATCCGTCTATGAGGGTTGGTGCTGCAACGAGCGATGCGGAAGCCTGGACGGCAACGAAGGGTGCACCGGAGGGCGAGGGTGGAAGCATGGGCTGATCTGTTATCAATTGTACATCTGGTTGCGTAGCAGTGCAAGTGAGACATGCTGTTGGTGCAGAATCTTTTTTTGAAACTGGCCGCTCGCATGTGGCAGGAACCTTTACCTTTTGTTTCTTGCATTTCGTGTGGTACTTTGTTTGGGTACATTTGTATGCTTCAGTCCTTTGGACCGTTCGGGCGCATTTCGAAGGCACCTCTACGGTAACCAGTCCACATTGCTGGCGTTCCTTCTGTTTCGTACAGGGATATTGCTCAATGCGCACTTCCTGTCGCATGCATGTGTGTGGCACTTGTACTGTGACTTTTCTGCATTGCGTCTTCAACTCGGGCTGCTGACAAGGGTATGTTTCTTCCCTTAGTCCTTCTCTATAGCACGTCTTCTTCACCGGTTCTTCTACCTGCCTGCATACTTTTGCAGTGCGCATCTTTGTGCAGGGGTGTGCCTCAGGTACCTCCACCATCCGGCTGCACTCCTGCGGCACCTTCTGCTTAACGGGCTTGCAGTGCTCCTTCCCGCACTCGTAGCTTTCCTGCTGAATCTCCTGCCGCATGCATGGCTGCTGTACCTCAGTGCATTGTTGTTGGAGCTTAGGCTTAGTGCAGGGAAATTTTTCTTCCTCCTCAACCTCCCGCAAACACGTGCTAGGAATTGCTCGTGGCACGGGGCGGCACACTTCTTCTTCAGCCTTCTTGGGGCATGTATACGCCTCCTTCACGGTAACTGGTTTTGCGCAAAAAGACTGAGAACGCACAGGGACTGTCTCACACATATCGAGTCCACTTAGACGGCGATGAGGCGCAGCTGGATTGGCCGTAGAAGAAGCCCCTAACGGAAGAACAGATCCAGCAGGCTGGGGAAATTCATTACCTTCATAACCTGTTGCCCTTTCTGCTAGCGTGTCTGCTGGCGCTGCTTCTGGTGCAACGCCTGGCAACAGAAGCAGCAAGATGGTAATATAGAAAGAGATCTTAATTTGCAGTTTGCGTTTGGAGGCCATTCTGCGGCTTGTTCGAGGGACCAAGGGGGGAGCGGTCCCTGTCGGCTGTACACAATTGTAGAGCGAAAGCCGCGTAGATAGGGCTGAAGCAGTGGAAGACGACAGAGAAAATAGCACCCCATGGAAGATTGGCAGCCCACTCCGGGAGGCTCCACTATGGTGTCCGCTAAAGAAACAGACAACAATGCAAATAAAGTTTTCTTTACCTTCAAATACCCGATTCGTTTCAGTTCATCGTAGCTGAGCTCAAATAACAACTCTCTGGTGGGTGACTTCAATGAAAAGGATATCTGCGCAGCCCCTCTGGGCTAGAGGGCCGAGCGTCACTAGAGTGCATACTTTGACTATTGGTTGCCACACGAGAAAGGGGGCATATCGAAGCTAACGCCTGCCGAATTTCGGCTGGAATCTTAGCTCTGTATCCTAATTCTGTTAGGCTTTGTTCTTATGCATTTAGATTCCAGAAAAATGAACTACCTTCATGAGTACCTGTAGAGTGGACCGCTCGAGCGCCATGGCGTTCACATAGGCTCTGCCTCTTCGCAGATCTGGCGTTTCGGGCAAAAAGAGCGTGATGGAGCTGAAACGTCGCTTAATAAAAATTAATGCCACACGTAGAAAAACGTTATATGATTTAGAAAGCTATTTAGCCTTTTGGGTAGCAGTGTTACGGTGTCTGCTTACTACTATGGGATAGTGTGCCTGAGATCTGATCATAACGATCCGCCCGATGGCTGTCATAGATTTCGGAGTGAAACTTGGAATACACACGCCCCGGTATGCAACCCCACAAACAGTTGGTGGTTTGATAGATGTTCTGGAAAATGGGGCGCAGTGGTCTTGGTCGAATTTCAGTTTTCGCTCACTGGTTCTTTGTGTGGTGTTGGCAGAACACGGAGCGCGCACCCATTCAACATTCATCCAGCATCAGTTGAGCTGTGTTAACGATTTCCTAGTACTGTTTACCCTGCGAAAAATCTGATAAACCAGTTAGATCAACACTTTAAGTGCCTCAGCAGATAGGAGTGCAAGCGCGCACACATGAAGACAAGACAAACACAGGGACCCCCTTCACGTTCGCCATGCGAGTTCGGCTGGGTTTCCAGTGCCTCCTTTGAGTGTATATTTTATAACAAACCCACGTTCCCCCCTCTAGTAGGGAGGTTTCACAATCCCTGACGTCCCTGAGCTCCTCTCCTTGGTTGAAGGGATGATGCTTGCCAAGAGCTCCTATGGCTGCCCAAAGAGACTTAATGAGTGCTTAATCGCTCGCTGAGGAGCCGAATGAGGGGATTTAAGGTGTTAATGGAATTCCTTGTGCCCGCAAGGGGTATGGAGTGCCTGGTTTGGATTTGTGTTTGGCCAAGGTCACAAAACTGTAGTCAAGAGCGTTGCGCTGCAAAGCCTGAGTGTAGGGCCCCTTGATCCCCCTCATTTTCCTACGAGGAAGCCGGAAAAGGAAGGGTTTTGCTGGAGCGCTGGGTTGTCAACATACAGAATAGCCACCATATAGGCACCTAGCAGTTTGGGCTACTGCCGTGCCGTGACAGGAGCATCAAGTCCAGCACACGCCGAATGCAGCATCGGCCACCGCGGGGGCCCCCATTGCTGGCGTCTGCCCCTACGCCAAGGCTACGAAGCATAAAATCTATACAAAAGAAGGATTGCGGCAGCAGCACCTCTTGCTGCTGCTTCTGCAACAAACGCTGCTAGTTATGCACACCAGTAGGATGAACCACAACATGATCATCAGCCAACTAATCTACATCTAATTCAATTGCAGCAAGCGATCGCACTAGAAGCATGAGGGAGCCCTTCAGGATTATGTCGCCGCGTGCTGCAGCAGCCACAGGCCCTGTCTCTCTTGTAAGGATTCGTAACCAAGCAGCGGCAGTCGTGCGGACCACAATGTCCGGTTCCCTCTCGCATGTATTTCGGGTGTACACAACACCCCTTCTGATGTGTACACACTGCAATTGCTCCTCTGACTCCTGCCTGTCGCGTTGTTCCTTTATGTCGATAGTTTGCACTATAGGTGCCTCAGACGCCAGAGGTTCTGTTTTTTCCTGTTGATTATTCGTTTTGTTTGCCGGCGTTGGCGCGAATCTAAACAGAATAACCGCATTCAGAGCCTCCGCAGCTTCAGGATTCACTCGTACAGGAAGGAGCGAGAATATTTGTCCCACTGAGAGCCGCTGCAACACTTGGCTCTTTTGACTCTCGCTTAGCATCAGACGGGTGGATCCCTCAACTTCAAGGGCAGCGGTGAGGTACCAGTTCCTTGCTGCACCACAATACAAGACGCAGTAACTTTCAGCAGCACGCAGATGGCCCGAGAGAGGCATGCAGGTGCACACAGGAGATTCAACAGCATGCGCGAAAATTGCAGCACTAGCAGCATTGCCCCCAGCAGCAGCAAAGTTTACACCAGCAAAGCGCGGACTAGGGATTTACCCGGCGCGGCAGTCTGCACGGAGGCGAGGGCTCTTAGAGCGATAACTCTTAGTTCCCTTGCGAATTCGCTCTGTGGTTGAAGTGTATGTGCAGCTGTGGCAATCTCAAGAGCCCACTGAAATCTGCGTTCGCTCAATGCATCTAGCCCCTTTTGCAGCAAAGCCTTAAATCCTCCGGCAAGGCTAACGAGGCCTTCCGCTTTCTCGTCGGTTGACAGCTGAGTGAGCTCCTCGGCGGCTCCGCTAAACCAACCCATATAATGCGTGAAGACGGCCCGTACTGCCCATGGGACCGTTCCATACAGAGGCTGCAAGAAGGGATCCTCTCTCAGATGCCTTGGTAGCTGCACAGTTTGTGCAATGTCGTTCAGCGTCATCCCCTTATTCATCAAGCGAACCGTCTGGTCGTGGATGTACTGAATCGCATCTCTGTATGCAGTGAGCGTCGCGTAGATATGCGCCTCGCCTCGCAGGGGCCTTGTGTGCCCTAGCAGCAAGACTTCCGGGCGCAGAGACCTCATGAAATCAAGCGAAGCCACCCAATCGTTGCAGTCTCTTGTCTCCGTTCCTCGAATGGCGTAGATGTTGGGAAGAGACTTGTAGAGATTGTCTGCCCCGATCAGCAACCGTTTCTTTTGAATCCACACGATCACCTGATCTCTGCTTTCCCCAGGTGCATGGATCAGCTCCATCTCAAGGCCGGCTAGCCGAACCGTCTTGCGCTTCCCTCTCATTAAGTGTGTTGGCAGCACAGTGCCTATGCCTGACCCTTTGCTGTACCGCAGAGCGGGCCCAATACCTGCATGCACGAAATCATTGGAGTGTATGTACACCCCGAACTGCCGCATGCCCCTCCTGTACGTAGTTCCCGCAGTTACCGTCAGTACCTTCTCCATCTCGATCTTTGTAAGCACATGCGCATGCACTTCTGTGATGCCTTCCTCATAAATCGCAGCAGCACCAAACGTGTGATCTGTATGGAAGTGGGTATAGATGATGCCCTTTACATGCTGCTTCCCCTGCCCCTGATTATAATCAGTCCATGCTTTCCAGACTTCGCTCATGGTCTCGGTGCTTTCCATAGTATCAACGACAACAACACCTTCGGTCCCTTCCAGAATAATGCAGTTTGCCAGTCCAAATCCCAGTGCCACGAATACTCCTTCATCCACCTTCACTAGACCTTTTTTGAACTCTTCCTTGTGCTGCAAGAGCAAAGGAGGCGCTTCGATTGCGCGCTCTCGAAACTCTCCGAACTCAGCCCTCAAGGCGTCGACTGTCGGCAGCTCTCCAGCGCCAGCGCCCGTTCTCCTGGAAAGAGGTGCCTCCTCGCCTTTATGCAGCGAGAATAAGGCCTCGAAAAATCCAGGCTGTGTGCCAGTGCACAAGGATAAAGGGTGCGACCTTGCAGGGAAGGGCAGAGGAATGAAGACTCTCAAGCCAGGAAAGGCAAAGAGAGACAGCTGCCGCAGGGTGGGTGGCAGTCGCGTGTACAGGGTGGGGCCCCACATGAAGAGAAACAGGATTATAGGCGTTAGAATCAAGCAGCATAGCCGCAAGACACGCAGGAACGCATATAAACACCGGCGAGCAGCTGCTTCGCATGCAGCGACTGCAGCCAGCTCCTCAGCAGCCAGAGGCCTCTGCTGCTGGCGGGAGAGCCCCCATCGGCTCCGTGCCTGCACATGCCCTGCAGTACCCTCAGCGGGAGAGCCAGGGGAGCCTTCTGCGATCACGAGAGGGGCCTTTGGTGGGCAGCTCGGCTCAGCAAAGAGGCGGGTTGTTACCCTCCCCCCACTGGAGCAGTGATTGCACTCGCCGACCTCATGGGAAAGGCAGGGGCCGCTGCTGCTGAGGAGTATGCCGTGTGCCTTTTTGTTGTGGGTGATGTTGGTGTTGTTATGGAGTCGGCGCCTTAGGGCCTCCTTTATGGAGGGAGGCGCAGCTGCAGTCGAGACGCCCGCTTCTCCGGAGGAATCGGGAGGATGCGGGTCGGCGAAGCTGAAGTGCCCCCCCGAGAGGCGCGGCATTGGGTGTCAGCAGCGGTGAGCAGAGATTATGGAGGCAGAGTGTGCGCAGAATGCGGAGGGAGCACGACTTGGAAGATATTTATATGTATATGCAGTGTGCATTCGGCCGCTGGCAGATCTGTCCGAATGAGGGATGGAGCCGAGCGAGGAGGGAGGGAGGAAAGGGAAAGGAAAGCGGGAGGGAAAGATGCAAGTCAAAATGATGTATGCGCTAGAGGGAGTCCGAGAGAGGCACAGAAGGTAAGAGCCGGATGCACTGACAGCTATTCCGCAAGTGTCTTGCTTGCTTGCCAATAGAAGAGGGGCCACAAATAGGAGACCTCCAAAAGACACTGCGGCGTTATTCAGAGATGCGGCGTATCTACACCTCAAAGCTACCTATAATTTATCTGGAAAAGCCTGAGAAGCAGCGCGTAGTGCAGCAGGTAACAGAGAGGCTTGCAGCAGTCGGCAGAGCCCTTGCAGTCAGGAGGGCCCGAGTACGATCAGAGCTCTTTCCCTACTAGAGTGTAGGATTTACGACGGATCTATTATCGTTTTAATGACCTTGGCATTATAATCCTAGCACCATTAAGACTCACATATTAGTCAAATGCCGCAAATATGCCCCAGAACAAGAATACACGGCTCTGCTTCGCGCAGCAGCTCGTTTGCGGGGGGAGCAACGGTGCCAGCAATGAGGGGTCACCTTGGCATAATTCGTGCCAAATCTTTAATTTAAAGAAATTTTGTGGATCTATTCATGCGCAGATTGATCTTAAACTGCGCACGCAAACCAATAACAGGTGGACAACAGCCTTCGTCCTGTGTTCTCGGGGTCACCTGCACACTGTGGAAGAGGTCTCGCGTGCAGGCGTTGATGCTGCTTCCCTACCTCCACGTGTGTCCACCTGCTTGCATCTACTTTATAAACGCGATACCACAAAAGGGATATAAAAGGGGTAGCTCACCCGCGGGAAACTCGGCGGCAACGTTAACTACGGCGTACGGCGAAGACGCGCGAGCGGCGGAACAACCTTTACCACTCAGGGGGCTAAACCTCTACATGCCCATTCCAAACGCCTAGAAACTCTAATTGTCACGCTCCTCCAACCTTTATAGCACTCTTTTATGCAGACCTGACGGCAGTAACACCCGTTAGTGGCAATGGCCACGGGCTTGCCGCTGCGCCTGGCGCTGCTACCCTGTCAAAGAGAGATAAGAAATCAAGCGGTCATCTCGGCACCAATCCTCTGAAAAGCCTTAGTATATACTCAGAAAACCGCATTGCATAGTTGCCCCATATTCTTTGGACATATTGGGAACACAGGGTCCCCCGTGCACTGAGATGACTTTTTCCCTGGAAAAGCATCTTTCTCCTGATATGTACCCAAGAAAGCAGCGTGTTACTGCACTAAAGAGCATGGCGTACATTTAGGTGGACAAAGAAACGAGGGGAAAAGCCATCGTTCAGATATTGCTAGTCTTGAAGACATTGAAGCCATCGCTGGCTGTTGTGGCGATACATCCAGGGATTTGGGGGTGGAAGTGCAGCTCCGAGATGTGTTGTTGGCCACCATGCACGAACATCAGTTGCTCCGGCAGGTTGCCCTCTGCAAGGCATATGTATGAAAACATTACACAGCAACATAACACCACAGTATGGATTATGGGATCGTTTAACATGAAAATTCCAGGGCTCTTCGTATACGAAGACCGTGAGTGCATAGAAGGTGCAAAATCGCCAACCCATGAATGTATATGCACTAGCAGAACAGGTAATGCAAAGAAACGCCCTGCAGTTAACTTGCAGTACGCATAATGGCAAAGCCAGTAAGGCAGTGCAAATGGAGCATTGAAGGGTCCATATGAACTTTATCACTGAAGTAGAAAATTACTTCTTGCTCACCTTGAGGCTGCGCATTGCCCTCCCTCTCCACAGACATATCCCAAATGGTCAAAGAGTCGTCTAACGAAGAAACTGCGAAAACAGCTTCGTCGCTTGGATGCCAATCCACGCACTGGCATCGAACAAGACCAACGATGCGTTGCAAATGCATACAGACACACACACTCACATACATTCATACACAGAAGTTCAACCCTTGGACCTCATGCCACCGTCTATCAGCAGTGAACAAGAAATCCCCGTTCGCCATGGGGATGCATCCACCCACACGCGTTGTCGAGCTCCCTGCCCAAACCATCGCCCCTGAAAGATAACAGAAAAAGAAAGTCTGAATTGTTTCTCACCGTAATTGGTTTCTTGTGCCACTCCATTTCTGAGAGAGGCATCTGGGGGCACCGCAGGTCAAAGACCTTGGCAGTGCCTTCTTCATCTCCGGAGAGGATCAAATGCGCATGCAGCGGGGAAAAGCGCATAGCATTGATATCCGAGTTGTGAGCGTCAATCAAAGCCGCGGAAGGGGAGGAGCAGCCAATTCGCAAATCCCACAACCTGCGAAGCAGAAGTATAGCAAAGTTGGAAAGAAACGGATTAGGAAGGTGACACACCCGAACTCAAGCACGCGGCACAGGCTGCGACGCATACAAAGAGCCCTAGAAAGGCAGGCCGGAAGGGTGCCATCTGAAGACAGTTGCACGCGAAAAGGATGAACGAGTCGTGATGCAGCAGACTAAGAACCAGAGGTGCAATTGCTGACTCCGCATCAAAGGTCCAGCAATCCAGCATAGAGGAAAGACGCTACGAATGAACAAGCTGATAGGGAAAACGCCAAAAGAAGCTTTGAAAGTAGTCAGGCACGCAAAAAGACATACATTGGTAACCCCTAGAGGGCGCATCACCTCCCACACACCCCAGCCCATGATCCCCAGATCCCTGCAATGTCCTTTACTTTATAGATCCATCATTAGAAGATGCAGCAAAAATCTCTCCCTTGCCGTCATCTAACGGCTTCCATTGCAGCTCCTCCACGGTTGCCAGGGGCCCCTTCTTAGTCCCCTTATTCTTTTTGCTCTGGAACAAAGGCTGCACATCCCATCCTCCCTCTCGGGGCAGCCACAAAAACACCTGCCCCGCGACATCCCCGGACAACAGCTTGCCCACCTGCATGTACACCCCAGAAGATATACACACACCCAGGATCAGTGCGCAAAACAATAAATGCACATACATCTGGCGGGCACACACAGGAGAACGTGTGGGACGAGATCTGCAAGCACCCCTGTGCGCGCCGCGAGAACTTACGTGCAGAGGGTTCCAGTCCATTGCAAAACCCTCTTCACCATGACCTTTGAATTCATACATTGGTTTCTGGTGAGGATCAGGAGGGGGCCCTACGTCACATGAGCAGCAGAAAGAAGGGGCCAACGGGTAAAATTGTTCAAGCGTCTCGAAGCCGGTTAAAGCAGCCGTCGATAGAGTGACACGAGAAAAAGCAGACATACACTGCAAACCATCCTCAAATACCAATTCCCACCTGCAGCACCCGGTTCGTCGAGCCGCTTGAGGTGCTTGTCAATATCCCAAACTCCAACAACACCCATATCGGACCACGCGGCAGTAAGCCGCGGCATCTGCGCGCAAACACTACGCCCATAGACTTCGAAGCTCTCAACCCTAACCCCCTTAAGCGCTCTTTCTGTTCGCTGTACCCCACCCCTAAATGCCCACCTGAGGGCAGCAGCGGACTCGGTTAACCGCGCCCTTGTGCGCTATAATACGAAACTCGAGCTTGGCATCCTCTTCGCTTTCCTCCTCATCGCTCTGAAGCCGCATACACCGCAAAGCCTGTTTGTTGATACCACATTGCACACCCTGTATGCGTCCCCACTCGCATCCTGCCATCCTCGCAGCAAGCAATGGCTCCGCCAAGCGCTTGCGCGACCCTCCCAAGTCATGCCCGCAAGGAAATAGCTACTACTCTCTGCTGCTAGCACAGCCTCCACCCTCGACTCTACGCCTCGAGGGCAGGCATCGTCATCACCTCCTCTTCCGAAAGCGAACTATCATCATCGTGCTGTGTCTTGTGCAGCCGATGCCACTTCATGATGTAGAGACCGTCGCCGCCCTCTTCGCTTTGTGTGCCGCCCACGGCGTAACACGTATGTGGACACTTAGTGCGCGCCTGCGAGTAAATGCATGCATGCAGTTGTTGTCCAGTATGCCTTCACACCAGTATTCTGCAATGCCAAGACGCGGCTGCATCCAAACGTGACACCGTGGATCCACCCTGTATGCCTAAAAGCCGAAACATGAGGCCGCTATCCAAACAACAGAGCGAGCGCCCCACACAGGCCGCTCTCGCTGCGAATCAGCAACAAACAGTCTTCTTAAAACGTCCACCGCACCGCGCCAAGGGAGTCCGGAATGAAGTCGAAGGACAGGCACGGCCACGCCGTCTGTAGTCTATGCAGAAACTCGTAGGCGCTCGCGTCGCACTCCAATATTTCATCTGCGTCACCGCAACAGAGCTTGACGCTTGCCTCGCTGTCCTACTGATGTGCTGCGCACTGGCGGCAAAACGGCTTCCAGTTTCGCAGTAAAGAAGCAAAAACTTTGGGTGGCCCTCACAATAGGCATCTGAGGCCCTAAACACCCTCAATAACAGCAGGTCGGAAGCCGTCGACGTACCTTCTCCAAGTGTATCGACACCTGGCCTCCAAACCTGCAAGACATTCAAATAGGCATGCACACCTCTACACTCGTAACCTATTCTGGAAGCCCCTCAGGCAGCCCTCCCTATTCCCCCCATCCCGTCATTTCGTTTGTTTCCCGTGGCCTTCCCGCGTTCTTTAGGTGCAACAACACGTGTATCTCAAATATCAAGCGCGAATTTCTCAAACCCCTACCTGCAAACGCTCTGCATCATCCTCATCTTCGTCCTCGTCGGCATCCATTTCTTCGGACTCGGATTCTTCACTCCAGTCCTCCTCCGCAGCACTTGCTACGGCCTTCTTGTTGCTGTCGCTCTTACTGCCGCCACGCTGCTGCTGCTTCCGCTGCTGCTTACGCAGCACCCGTTCCAGTTCCTGCTGCTCTTCATCGTCCAAGTCGTCTCCGTAAGGATCTTCAAACTCCAAGCCACCGTCCTAAGGCAGAAAGTGCAGCCCCGCAAGCACAAACGATCTCTGCCTTACAGCCGCTTTCGAGATCCGCCGCTGTACGTCCACCCTCCCAGCGGGGTGACACTGCGCGCTGCTGCGATCTGCGAAACAGGCCCCTCAAGGCTCTGTGCGCGGCGGGGAAAGATCATTGGCAAAGAAGAGTCTGCACTCTCCTCGACTTACGACGTCCACATCTTCCTTCTCCGTATCCGCGTGGTTCGACTTGGCCGGCGCTCCCTTCTGCCGCTGCAGTCGCAACGGAGCACAGTCAGCCAACGGGCTTGCAGCAGGTCTGCTAGGAGTCGCTTACCTCCCCTTTTCCCGTTCCCCCTTTGACACAGCTCAAGACAAAGTGGCGAGGCCGTCTGCTGCTCACCTTTGCTTCTGACATCTTTGTTACCTTACCCACCGCGTAAGCTGCAATGCAACCCGATTCGCCTTCCTGCGACTGGGCAGAGAGGCGCTCCCCCAACCCCCGAACAAGGCTTGCCTTCGCAGACGCCTGTTAAAAGCTAATTCACGAAGCCTTGGCTAATGGACGTGCTAATTTTCAGAACAACAACTGCTCCGTCAAAAACCGCCACGGAGCTGACACTGGTCAGGTCAGAGCGCAACGCGAGGGAGAGGATAAAGTAATGGCTTGAAGCTCTGGCCTTCTGTGCTTGCACCATAACGCCTTTTCGAAAGGCCACATACAGCTCATTTTCCGCACAAAATGCCCTTTCCCCTTCGCGGGAATCGCCACCCCACATGCCCCCCGATGGCGGGCCTTAGGGGGGCCCCTAAGGGAGGCCTCCAGGGGGCCCCTTAGAACCCCTTGCCTTTCGTATGGTACAATGAAAATTCTTTCCATTTCCTCTGAGCAGCTCTCCCCTGCCGCTGGAGCCTCTCACGCTGCCTAGAGTACGAACTTCAAAGAACGCCAGAGTCAGAGACGGTGCGCAAGCAGCGCCTCTGTGCAGTAGCGTCTTAAGCTCTAAAGAAGGCCTTGAGTGTTAAAATCCCACCGGAAGCCTTCAGGATCGCTGTTTTTATCGGTATGCTATGCCATGCGCAGCCTTCTTCACCCAAACCTCACGAGCTACATCGCAGTAGGACAGTGCCCCCATGCTGCAAAACGCGCATCAACTTCGATTTTGGCACGAGCTCGGGCAGCCAGGGGTGTATTCCATTGAAACTTCCTGCGACGGGTGAGGGCTTGTCGCGCTTGGCGGCTCTCGTGCGCCGGAGCGGTTGCCGAGCGCTGCGGGTCTGTTATTCTTTAGCTAAAGAACCGACGGAAGGGGGAACTGTCTGCCTCTGTAGTAAGCTACTGTGTACTTCTGTGGGGAGGCCTGGAGGCTGGCAGGTGCAGCAAACTGCACATGTGCTGTCAGACCCCCGGCATTGGGGAACGACGGCAGGGCAGCGACCCGAGGCAGTAAGCACCATGAGTAGAGAAAACGGGTGAAGGCATCTTCTCTGGCTTCTCCCGAGAGGGATAGAGAAGACAGACGAGGGCTTCTTTCCTGCCTTCTAAGAGCGTGTTGGGGTGGAGGACTTCCCCGTTTAAGGTAGCCTGTGGAGGGCCTTCGTACGCAGAGAAGACTGCCTCTATGTGGGTCGTGGTGGCTGCATGGCTTCTTGCAGCAAGCGATCGCCAGCGGGCTGCTAAGGCCTCTTAGCCGCAGGAAAACGTGCAGTTGCGTGTAGTTCCCCTATCGTGTAAGGATGCCCTCTAGGGCGCGTTACGCTAAGCAGTAGGCAAGTTAGACTGCGGGATCTACGAGGGATGCCCTCCTCTGCGTTGGCGACCAACGTTGCGTTCTGGAGAGGGCGGCCGGCATGGGGGGTTCCGTATTGCAAATCTTCGTCTTTTAAACCTAAAGGCTTGCTGGCTCTTCTGAAATGCAACGCATGCTGGAGTGAAGAAACTTCCCTAGTCCTCAGAGGGCGGGAGGCGAGAGGAGAGGGGTGCTCTTAGGGGCGCAGCCGGTTGGAGGGTTGGTGGCTCCAAGGAGGTGTTTCTGTTCCCAACTCGACCTCGCATGGCATGCATGCGTACATGCAGGCAGCGCTGAGACGTGTGAGGCATGCTGCTGCGATATTAGCGCCCTAGGTCGCAGAGTTTATTGATGCGCAGCCGTAACAGCGCGCAGGTCTGTTTGCACTGCAGAGGCAACGCGACAAAACAGCAATTTCAAAATCTTTTTCGGATGGCGCCTGTGGAGGGTCACTTCTCTCGAGTCACACAGTCCGTCATTTGTACGCAAACAAACTTGAACGGCCGACCCACCAATTGCATTTGGACACTGAGAGAGGAAGATGGAATTGCAGATTCTTTGAACGCCGCAAACAGCTCCGTCAGGCCCTCATACTCCTAAAAAGAGCACAAAAGGTCTGCATGCGTATGACTGGTGCTCCCCCTATAAACGCGACTAGCCCTCAAAACAACAAAGATGTGCTTCTCCCCTGGGAGCGGTCATGAAACCTTCATTCTCCCCTAACCCCTCCAAAAGCATCCAAACCATGCGCGGTAAATCCCCCTATCCCACCTTTAAAGCGCCAGCCATGCACTGAATGCATTCCTTCTTGTCTCTCCCCATTCTGCTCATCATCAAAGCCCGCTTCATCTTGGCAGACACCAGAGCAGCACGAAGCTCCGGCGACAAAGACGCGATCGGCTCGGCCCCACGCTACATAAAGCAGCACAACATGAAATACATAGTGATACATATATACATAGAGATACATATATATATATATACAGACATACATATACACATGCACATACACGTATATACCTATATACATGCCCATACACGTATATACCTATATACATGCCCATACACGTATGTACCTATACACATACACGTACATGCATATACCTATATACATGTACATACATAGAGACATAAATATACATGCACACACATACATATGCATAAACACATATATATTGATACATAGTTACAGCTAGCTCGAGGGCCTTCGCCTGGAACGCTTTGACGCACTGTTGCTCCACAAGCACAACATGCAAAACACACGCGCTGCATGTAGAAGAGGACTTAGAACCTCGACAACCCCTCAGGCAACACCCTCAAAATACCATTTCAAAGGTGCCAATGAAGACAGTGAAGTAATGTGTACTCCGTGCCGCAAGACCGTGCAGTGCTTGACATTTTCTTAGCCCTGCAGCCATATACAGCAATCGCCCCAGCAGCAAGCGCAGCTCTCATTAGCAATCGTGGCGAAGACAGCGGGGGGCAGCACCATTGTCCACTTTCACTGCAACGGCATGAAATCGAGCAGCAGCAGCAGCAGTAACAAGCGCTGAAACGGCCCATTCAGCGCCAGCAGCAAGGGCAGCACAGAGATGTCGGTGTGTGTTACGGCTGTATTCTTCTTCCTGCATTAAGTCCGCATCCTGCTCAATATCTGAAGAGGCCACACACAACCGCAAAGCAGCTTTTCCGAAGTTTCGGTAGAACTTGCAACTGTGTTTCGCCTGCCTTGGCCACTGCTGCAAAGGGCACCAGCGTCCCACAGATTTCGAGCAGCTCGTGCAAGCATTACCAGCCTCCACCTCATCTTCCCATGAAGGCAGCTGCTCCTTCCACTTGCAGAGGTGCAGCTGCTCATACGTGTCTCCTAGCTCGTAAGCCAACTGCCTCCTGAAGCGCAAGCCCTAACAAAGAAGTCCAAGTGGAGAGTAACCTCCAGAAGAGAGGCCCCCTCCCCCCTCCCCCCCGCGCAACTGCGTCTTGTCGGGAACGCTCTATGGTGGAAGATGTACGAAAATATATAAATCATAGACTTACATGAGGTCCAGGTAGTATTGAGGATTCAGCGCTTGGACCAGCGGCTCGAGGAGCTTGCAGCGCCTCTGGTACATGGCAATCACGCGTGGCAGTGACCCCTCGAAGAAGGAGAGGTCTCTACACACAAAATCAACTCCGTCCATGCAGCATCAGCCCTTACAGCTGCTTTTTGCTGCCTTGGCGGCGAAAACGCTGGCAGCTTTTCATTGCTCGCTCGCAGCAGCACCCATGGGAGGCCTTTATTAGCATTTACCGATACACGGAGGACTGCAGCAGGCTTAGCCGCGTGTGGTCCGTTGACCAGCTATCCAGCGTGTAAAGCTGCAGCAAAACGACACTGCAGCAAAAACGGCACTGCAGCAAGAAGCGTTGCTGCATGCGCAGCAGGTGCCTCAGCAAGGAGCATGGAGGACAGCAACGCGCGTCAGTCTGGCAAGTCTGGGAAGGCCGCTTCTGAGCCGCAAGGCAGTATCCGCAGATGCAGCGGCAGCAGAGGCAGGGGAGTTTTCCCTTCGCAAGAAAAAGAAAGTAGGAGAAGTAGTAGGAGTGGCAGCGACAGCAGCCACACAGGCAGCACTAAGGACAAGCAACCTGCCTGCAAAGCAGCCTGCACTTGGTGGGAAGCCATGGCAAAGAGGCACTTTGCTCCTTCGAACCCCTCGGTTAAGGACAGACAGCGCAAGCGTTGTAAGTCTTTCTCGCTGCAGCAGCATAGCCAGAGGGGGGCAGGCAAGGGCTGCACATGCGTTAAAGGTATCCTCCCTGCTCGCCGACAGAGTTCTGCAGAAACGCATGCTACGCTTCAAAGCGAGGCAGCATTTATATTTGCCCTTACTCCCCAGCACCCAAGCAGCAGCAGGGTGAGCTGCGAAAAGCCACGCTGCCCCAGGCTACTGTCTGCATGCGTCCTAAGACAGAGAGCTACTCATGATACACCCTAAATATCCTCACGGAAGTTGACTCAATTCTGGTAATAGCGTGGCGCTTTCGTTCGCGATCATCAGTTGTTTGTTCATCTTTACCAGGTGTCGGCACACCTACGAAACAGCAGCAGCAGCAGCAGCAGCACCAGGTCGATTGAAGAAGCAGAACAAAGGCCACAGTAGCTAAAGGGTCAACAAGACGTGCATAAGCAGCGGCTGGAGCCGCAGCAGGAGGGGGAAAAGGTGGAGAGAACGGATGCTTCCGAGGCAGCAGCGCTGTGCAACTCACGGTTCCATGCAGGGATGGCAGTGAGACGTGCAGCAGCAGCACCGATCGGTCTGTGAGAATTATTGAACACCTGATGCAAAAGCAGCAGCGCCCTGAGCAGTACATTCTGCAGGCATCGTTGAAGAGGAAATACAAATATCTATGGTAGTGGAGCGTCTGTAAAAGGCAAGGGCACACCAGCAACAGCGTGGGAAAGCGTTCGAGCGTACATGCCTTCTTCTGCTATGCCCCTCTCTGCAGCAAAAGCGGCTGCATTAGTTGCTGGGGTTGCTGCTTCTGTGGGGTTTGCATTGGCAGGCAGCAGCAGCACACGTTCTTGTCTTGTACGGCGCTGCACGCTTGAAGGCTCAGGGTGAGGGAAACGCTGTAGCAAGCCTCCAAAGTGCAGCGGCCAAGAACAAACGTCTGTGAGGCTGCTAGTGCTTGTGCTGCTATTGCTGTTGTTGCTGTTATTGCTGTTGCCGATGGTATTGGGAGGTTCTTCTGCATGCGCGCCACTGTTGGGTGTGACATCGTGCTCCTTGTTCTGCTGCTGCGGCTCCTGCTGCGGGTAGACATGGTGCTGAAGGGCGAGCTGCTTCCGCTTTTGCTGAATCAGCGACCTTACTTGCGCCTCTGGGAGGGTCAAAAGGCCAAATGCATCTTCTAGAGTTGCCAGACAAAGCGTTGGCATCGTGTTCAGCTGCAGCAAACTCCCAGCAAGGCCAGATGCGTGCAGCGGCAGCAGCAAAAAAGACACACTGAGCGGGCACTCCTACAATGCAGACACCGCAACAAGAACTCACGTCTTTCAGGAGAATTTTCTCCAAGTTCAGCCCGCGCTCTTCTGCCTGCGCTTTTCCTTGCTGACACTTCTGCGGAGGATCTTGTTGCCCATCCTGCTGGAGCCACTCAGCAGCAAAGGCACGGCCTTGCTGCCGCAGCTCTCGAGTGAGCCTCAGTCGCTGAGCGTACAAAGCGGCTAGCTGCTGCTGCAACGCGGCTGCAAACTCTCCTAGCTGCCGCTCCTCATGGCGCACCAGGCACACCATGGGAAGACACCCCAAGTACAAAGTGTCTTTTCCGTCATCATCTGCTGCTTCTGAAGTCCTTAGAGCACTTCGGCTTGCCCCTTCTTCTTGTTGCTGCTGCTGCCTTTGCCGGAGCTGCTCACGGAGGCGCTGCCTTTCCTCCTGATCGCTGGACGCCTCCCTAACGAGAGCGGCTGCTGCATGCAAATGGTATTCTGACGTCAGCAGCTGCTGCCGACCTTCCCAAAAGTCCGAAAGCCCCTCGATGTTGCGAAGGAGCTCGCGGGTGTCTATACAGACGGGAGCGAGCGAAAACAGGGTCGCTGCTGCAACGCGGTTGCTGTTGCTCTTATCTTCACATAAAGATGTACGACAGAAAGACAGGCGCACGGGACTGTTTTTACGGCTGCTGCAGCTGTCGCAATACAAATGAGGGGGAGGCCTCTTCCCTAAAGCGATTTGCAAGACTTCTGGTGCTGCTGCTGCTGCTTCATTCTGCGCCTCCCAGTACTCCGGCTGCTCCCACCATTCGCGCTGCCGCTGTCTGTACACCGCGCGCTGCTCAAGCAGCAGCAATAGCGCAGCCGCAGAGGCCGCTGCTGCTTCTGCTTCCCAATGCGTTGGCTGCGCATCAGCGCTGCTGTCCTCTTCGCCGGAGGGCTGCTGTAGCTGCTGCTGCTGCAGGAGCACTTCGGCTCCAACGCAGCGCGCCAGCAATTGCTGAGAGGTATAGATGTGTTGCAGTATTTCAAAGCAGTGCTGTTGCAGCTTCTGACTTCCGTAGCCGAGGCTGCTGCTGCTGCTGCTGCTGCCGTGCTGTATGGTGCCATGCTGTACAGGAAGACCAACATCATTCCGAAGGCTTTCCGCCATTTTTAAGGCCTGATGTTGGGTGTGCTGCTCCTGCTGCTGCCCTTGCTGCAGCAGCAGGAGCTTGCATTCCTGCAGAAGCGCCATGACGTTGCCGTACGCTGCAGCTGCTGCTTCTGCGTTATGCCACCGATTGTACATACACACCAAATCGAGCAGCAAACCAGAAGCTCGCAAAAGCAGAGAGAGCGGTGCATAAAAGAGGCCAGGAGCAACAGCGGCGCATGAAGAACATTCCCCCTCGCCGTTTGCTGTTTCTACTTGACTCTTAGGAGCCGCCTCTTCCCCACTACCCAGACAATGCTGCTGCTCTTCTTCCTCCTGTTGCTCTTCTTCCTCCTGCTGCTGTTCGTACTGCTTTTTCTCCTGCTGCTGCTCTTTCTCCTGCTGCTGCTCTTCTTCCTCCTGTGTCTGCTGCACAGACTTGAATTTGACGACTTTGAGCAGCAAGAGCAGCGCGAGGCACAGACGCTGCTGTCCTTCCGTTGTTTCTTCGGTAGCGATTTGGCTACTGCCGATAAGAGCCAGAAGGTGACAAAGCAGGAGCAGCAGGCGTTGGATTGGCTGCAGCGATTTCCAGCAAACATCATGAAGGTCAACTGCCGCAGCTGCGGCAGAAAAACACACCAGTACAAGCGGTAGCAGCAGTGGCAACAGAGCACTAAGTTGCCTTTTTAACACTCCCCATTTATCAGGGTTTCCTCTAGCAACCAGAACCCAAGCAGCAGCACATACAGCGAGCAGCTTCTCACCCTACACTTACGCGGCAGCTGGATATCCGTGAGCGTCCTTCGAAGCAGCCGGAAACAGCGCCGTGCGGTGTGCTGCAGAAGTGAACGTCCTGCGTATTTGCCAGCAAAGATTTGCGTGTGTTCAGGCTGATGCTGCTGCGCCTCCGGGTGTACCTGCTGCTCTTGCTTAGAGTTGCACTCCAGGATTGACCAGTACTTCACGAGGGCAGCCGGCATCTCCTTCGTTTCAAAGGCCTCGATTTCTGCGGCTAGACAATGGCTGTTGCTGCTATCGCAGAGGTCGTCGCTGGTGTCGTCGGACAGCAGCGATTCGGCTAGCTGAATGGCTTCAGCAATGCTGGTTGCTGAGGGAGTTCCTTCTTCTGTTGCTGCTGTTTCCTTCTTTCCCGGTGCCTCCTCCGCTGTAGAACGCGCATTTTCTGCTGGTTCGGCGATTTTCCCTGCTGCAGAGGGGGTGTCACGTTCGTGAGGGTGCCCACCTCCTGACGGCAGAGCTGCAACAGCCAGCGGCTGCGGCAGCTGCTGCTGCGCAGAAGCCGTTCCCACTGCTGCCATGAGTCTGTGTATGCATTATGAGAAGCAGGGAAAGAGGGGACGTAAGCTTCAGCAGCAACTGCTCCAGCAACCGCCGCACGGCAGACAGACACGCACACACACCGACCCCCCTCCACTGTCTGCTACAGAAGGCACACCAAGGATTGGTGCTGTCTCTGCGGTCATTGGGATTGCTCCACTCCCCCGCAATTAAAAACTGTCTAAAGCCCTATTTCTATATATTTAGCGCATTAAACATTGATTTTGAGGCTGCAGCAACAGCTGGCCCCCCTGCAGCCGCCACGACGCCGCTGCCGACGGCTGCCTTGCATCCAGACGTCCCTCCCCAGCGGCAAGAGGCCACCAAACCGAGCGTTATTGCTCCGATAAACGTACTTGATCATTGCATGTTTGCCTACCAATTGCTGCGGGAGTGCCGCATCGGGCGTGCCAGAGTGGCAACACAGGGGGAAACTGCCCACTCTACCTCTAACGACCTGAGGCAACTTGCTTGCGTTTCGAATTGCACTGCGCTGCGCATTCACAGGAGCAGTCTGCATCTGGCCTTTACTGAGGGAGGGACGAGAAACCAGCGAGCCTCGCTGTACCCTGCACGTGGACACAATCCGCCACCCGCCTGTGGCATAGAGGCGCATCTACAGCCACGCGCTGCACAGCTGCCTACACCCTACAGTGCTAGTACATTGAAGTTGCATGATAAAGCAAAAGACCCCATGGAGGGCAGAAGCTGATCGGCAAGAAAAGCGACGTCCAAATCGCCCGACCCTCCACTGAGGAGACGCATGCGTCTGCTTTTCACGAAAGCCCCTTCTCCCAAAATTTGCAGCTACTATATAGATGTATAGAGACTCCAAGTGTATTAGGAGGATCGTCTGAGCTGATGCACACCTCCATCTCCGCTGAGAGCGCCCTGCTAGCTAAACAACTTCCTAACGCAGTGCAGATGCAACTCCCAGTGTGTGCAGGTCCGCTGCTTAAGAAGCAGCTCGCCTTCCTAAGCTACACTCTATGTATGTATGCATGTGTACATAAATATATATACGCATGTCCTTCAAAAATGCCGTTACTCTCAGGCTGCCGTCATCTTAGCAGCCATCTCAAAGGACTCGAGATGATGAAATAAACATGGGCGCACAACCTGAGAATTACTACCCAGGCTGCCGCTAATAATGCTAGAGCTCGAGCTGATGCTGCTAGAGCTCATGCTGCTAGGGCAGTATGCTTGGCTGCCCATAGGAAAGCTTCATCTATACAGACTCTGCTGTTGCTCGCGTGAGGCTTGCTGCTGCTACACCGCAGTTACCGGTACCTCAACGACACCCGTTCTCCCTGCCTCTTCCGGCGCTTGCGTTGCGCAAGGCGATTCTTTTTGTTCATGCACTGCATGCACATAGAGGCACACATACATACAGCAGAACCCCCTCCACTCGGCAACACACAGAGACACTTCTGGCAGCCCAAGCAAACCGCCACGCCCTGTCGTGGAGGCTAATCGTCGTCCAATTCACCAGCTACGCACCTCGAAGATGGTAGAAGATGTCTGCGGCTCTTCTTCGATCTGTAAGTTCCCTCCAGCAGCAGCAGCGGCAGCGGGAGTTGCGTCTGCTGGAGCAGCTGCAGCCACCTTCGTTTGAGTTGGGTTAGAGCTGCGCAGATCATTCCTGATGATAAAAGGAACGGCTAGCGTCTCCCTTTGATACCGAAAGAGACTTGCGATTCTCTCTGCGGCTGCACCTGGTTCCGGTGCAACTTCAGGGGCTGCTAAAAAGGCTGGAATACGGCCAAAGTAGCTGGCGCTGCAAGCACTGTAGTGCTGAAGGAGCGAGAAACCTGCAGCATAGGAGGCAACTGTTGCGATGGAGTCTGCTGCTGCCGCCTCTTTTGTGGCAGTAGCTGCTGCTGCAGCTACTGCCGCAGGTGTCGCTTGCTGCATTCGTGCACAGGCTCTCCGGGTAGAAGAGTTCCTCCCGCGTCCACTGCTCATAGAGGGGCTGAACGGCGAAGGGTGGCGCTCCTCCAGTGGCGTTTGGGCACCAAAAGTCTGAGAGCAGCTTCTCGAGGCTCTCAGTCTGCTAGTGCTGCTACTTGTCGCTCCTGCCGCTGCAGCCCGCACAGCCACTGCAGCAACGCGCCTGCCAAACCCTGCCGTGGGGGGAAACAGAAGCCACGCAGGCGCCATCTTGTACGTTTTCTTGCTCCTGATGCGGGCTGCAGCAGTATCCTTCGTTACCTGCACTCGGCGCTCCAGTACTTCCTCCGCTGCGCCTTGGTTGCTGCAGCTGACGGGGCCCTTCCGATGAACAAAACCTCTCCAAACTGCTGCAAGCAGACGCCACAGCAGCAGTACTGTCGAATCGAGCGCAGGAAGCGTGTTTCTATTGAGTCGAAGGTCGTGACAGCCGTTCAGCTCCCATGGAATGCGCAGCTCTGTCTGCCGATCTGCTAGATGCTCGCACTGCAGGCGGGCCCCAAACGCATGTCGTGCTGCCGTTCTTACGGCGACCACAATTTCTGCGAAAAACGTTTCAAAACATCGATTAACAAGGCTCATGCAGCTGCTCCGGAAGGGGCACATGCGCGCGCAGCAACAGCAGCTGCTGAAAGACCTGTCGACGGCAGTCCCATAGGACACGACCCCACCACCAAGCCACCGCAGGATGACGGCTGTAGCCTTCATCCTGCTCTTCTGCACCTGCGGAGAGAACTCCATTCGCGCCTTTATTGCTGGTCTGTCGCCGATTCCAGACACCACTGTCTTGCAGCATCCTCGCGCACAGCCACCTCAGATGCGCGTTTCGTAGAGCCGCATCGACAGCGGATACTGACGAACCAACAGCAACTACCACAGCTGCCTACAGGCGCACTGCCCTCCCCAGTCCAGCGCTGCCTCAGCGACTTTGCCATGAACAACACGGGCTAGCTGCGGTAGCCAGCCTCTCCTGCCATAGCGTGCAGCAGTCCGTGCAACAAAGCTTTCAGCAGCTCTCCTCGCCAGCAGGTGCCCACAAACAGGTGCTCACAAAAGGTGGGAAAAACTCGAAACAGACACTTGGATAGCTGTGTCGATGCAGCCTCACGCGCAGCTGTCCAACAACCCCAGCAGCACCAAAGCCCCCCAAAACAAGCGGCTCCCGCTGCAGCAGCCACGAGGCACAGCCTGCTGAATGGCGTCAGCAGGCGCTGCTGCATGCGGCAATTGATACATGTGCCGCAGCAGCCTCCAGAGAGCAGCAACACACTGAAGCCCCTAGTCAGCAGCGTGCGCGAAAGATGCAGCAGCAGCAACAACCACAACAGCGGCAGGAGCTGTCGTTAGAGTTTCCCTTCTGCCCGCTTTTGCTGGATCCGCTTGACCCTTCTCGAGAGGCGCACGGCGGCAGCAGCACTCAGAACGGCAGCAGCTTCAATGGGATGCTCAGTGCTCTGCCGATTCATGTGCAAGATGCACGAGGAACGTATGCTCAGCTTCACCTGCAGCAGCGTCTTGACTGCAAAGCCAATGCGCTTCGCCTGCTGCAAGAACTCGAGCAGCAGCCGCTCGATCGGCCAGACTTCGCTGCAAAGTCGAAGCAGGTGCTTCAGCAGCTGCAGCAGCACGACAGGGAACTGCTGCAGGACCAGGAGCTGCTGCAGCACGTCGAAGCAGCAGCAACAGCAGAGGGGCAGGAGGGAGAGTGGGTGTCAGAGGATTTGTCGCTCTGCTGCTTCCAGGAGGCACTAGCAGCAGACATGCTGCTGTTACTAGGGCTTCCGAATCTGCAGCAGCAGCACCACTTGCAGCAGCTGCAGCATCAGCACGTCCTCCTCCACTCTCCCTGCCTGCAGAGTGTACTTGAGGAGCAAAAGAAACGCCTTCAGAAACAGAAACAGCAGCAGCGGGGGCAAGGCCGAAAGCGAACCCCCACAATGCCAGCAGCAGCAGCAACAGCAACAGCAACAGCAGCAACAGCGACCAGCGAAGTGCAGCAGCTGCGTGAGTGCCTCCGCCTCGATAATCATGCCGTCAGCAATGCAAATGTCATGAGCAACAACAGGTGGTTTGTTGCAGCGCTCTGGCGGCTGCATGCTTTAAGTTTCAATAACGATGTGATGCAGCTCCTGCAGTCGTACGGGAAGCAGCCTTCCGCAGAACACACGAGTCTTCTACTCCTCAAGGCAAAAGCTTTGGTAAGCAGCGGCTGTGTCTCCGTGTGCGTCGAGTCCAACTACGCAGCGCTGTCGCACTTGTATTCACGGAGAGGCTTTGCTTCACGCTGGCTTTTATACGCGTCTCTTGGCTGCTGTACTGCCTGTAGGCGCATGCCGGGAGGCGCAGGGAAGCAGCAGAAGTCTTGTCTTTGGAGGCTTCTCGGGCAGATCCGGAGGTAACACACAGGTCCCCTACCTTCATGAAGTTTCTCCTTCAAATGAGATGTGAGCGTATGAACATGCGGAGTTCAAGTAGATAGGGCTGGCTCTGCGTTGACTGCTTCGGACTACCGCAGCTGCTCAGCTGGCACCAGCTGCTGCTGGCCGAGGTGTACAGACACTGCGAGTTCACGGAGTTGCACATTGAGGCGTTGCGAAGCTGCTGCTGCGGCAGCAACAGCAGCAGCATGACGGCCGCTGGCTTTTCTGCAGCGACAAGGCTCTTAGGCACATGTCTCATCTCGCCGGAAGAAGGTTTGTAAATTGTTGGTGCTGCTGGTGTGTGCTGTCGTGTTAGCGGGGTTGCCTGGAGGCTGCGCGTCCTGCTGTCTGCTGCTCCAGTTCGTTGCTGCATCTGCTGCCGTATGGCCGCACTGCTACGAAAATGCAGCTGCTGCTGCTGAATCGAGAGTCGTGTTTCTCCCTGCGGCTGCTTTTTCACAGAGGTGCATCTGCTGTCGTCTCTGGGGCATGCGGACCGCGACGAACCCCTCAAGTAAAGCTGCTGAAAGCCAAAGCATGCTTTCTGAATCTCACACACACACACACACCTCCCTGCCCAACAACAGCAGCAGCTGTCGCTACGGCACCAGTGACCTCTTGCAGCAGCGGCAGCAGTCCTGTGAATCTCGCTGCCGTGCGTGCAGATGGCTGCTGCTTCACCGCTCGCAGTTGGCTTCTCCCGGCATCAAGCCGTTACGCGAAATTCAAGTGGGCGCATGCGAGCAGCCCCAGCAGCTGACACCTCGTGCAGGAACACGCTGCATGCTCTCGTGTTGCTGCAAGTGCTTCTTTCGCCGCTTTCTGAACCCTTTGCAGAGCTCCATTCTCGAGCCTTTTGCGCATCACGCCTCGCCCTGTTGGTTTCTCCGGTTACCACTGCGCGATTGCGCACTGTTTCTGCACTGTGTGTGCCGCAGGCTCTGCCTGGTGCTCCCCAGGCTGCGTCTCCTGCCTCTGCGCTGCTGCAGATGCCCGTCCCCCTCGGCTTTCGGAAATCTGGACTGGCGCTCTCCAGGTGCGACAGATGGCAGCAAAACGCATCCGCTTTCTCGCTGCTTCCCCGAGCCGTTGTTTACGCGGTGAACGGACTGCACAGTGACGGACGGCTTGTGCTCTTTAAGATTCACCGTTTTTGGATTTGCAGCTACAATGCCCGCAACGCAGCGCGACGAGCTATTCATGATGGGAGGCCGGATGACGCCTTCGCCATTTGTAGCCTGTAGGAGCTTTGACAACAAATCTTAACACTCTGCACTCACTAGGCTGCCCTGCACAGTGCCGCCTTACAGAATGTTTCAGGCACTCTCCTGTAGCGAGCTGCCTACGTATGCCTTCTCTGCTGAGTGTGTTTGTTTCTGAACGGCCAGGCTCCTGAGTCGAGATCCTTTCGATTCGGAGGCACTCCGGACTGCCAGCAGTGCAACCCTCGTTGCGCGTATGTGCTGACTGTAGGGCTGCTGCCTGCGTAGTATGCTAACGGCGGCACCTCGGCTGCTGATGATGTGTATTGTTGCTACTGCTGGTGTGCTGCTGCTGGTGTTGTTGGTGTGTAGTGTTGCTGCTGCTGGTGTGCTGCTGCGAGTGACGTGCTGGGAAGAGGTCGTACTCCTGCCCTGGCATCCTATTGGCGCGGCAGCGTCTTGAGCCGCTTCCTGCTGCCCTTGCTGCTCTGCTGCAGCTCACCTGATTGACAAGTTGCAGGAGCACCTGCTGCTGCTGACACGTGCAAAAGGGCAAAGGAATCGAGCGGAGTTCGAATCGCTCAAATGTCTTGTGGTTCGCCCCTTTGGCTGCTGATGTAGTGATGGACGCTGGCGGGGAAGGGGGGTATGGCTGCTCCCCTGTTTCGCTCCTGCCGCTGCTCTCCATACCACAGCGCATGAGCCCATTGCTCTGTATTGCGTCATGCTCTTTCTGATGCAGCGCGGGACGGTGGAGTTCACCTTCGGCGAGTTTCTGGCTGCGGCAGAAACTGCCGCGTAGGTTCCGCAGCAACGGCAGAACGGGGGCTTGGCTGTCAAATTAAGCTGCAGTGGACTGTGTGTGTGTGTGTAGCGCCTGCTAGGTGTGTGCACATGTGTCGTTTCTTCCCTTCTATACTTTACACGACTGCTGTATATACGCATATATGTGCTGCAGAAGGGCCACACGAAGAAGCGACAAGGCTCTGGAGTTGCTGCTGCTGCTTGCTGTAGCGACACAAGAGTTGCAGCAGCAGCAGCACATCTGCGCCGCCAACCCTGTACTTGAGGCTTTAGAGAGGCTGTATCCGTGGTAAGCAGAGCCGATATACCACTCGAAGATCAGCGGTGGCAGCGGCAGCTGTTTGCTTCAGGTGTGTAGCCGTCTGATGCTGCGTGGGCCTTGCAAGTTGTGGTAGAAGCAGTGGCATTCGATGCTCTACAGCTGGTGCTGATGTTGCGTTGTTTCCAGTTGCAGCGAAACTCTGCTATTAGCAGCTCGGCGGCTCCTAGAGAGGCAGCGCTCGGCTTCGTCTGATACGCAGCGATGGCGCGCTGCTGGTGCCGGCACGGTGTACTTACAGCGCGCGTTGTAAGGAGGTTGGGGTGTCGCTGCAGAAGTCCACTGCTGGTGGTGGAACATGCATAAATTTATTGCTGCTGTTACGGGTGCAGAAACCTATTGATGCTGTTGAGGGTGCAGAAATTCATTGCTGCTGGTTTTGTCGTTGTTTCTGCCTTTTCCTATGGTGCTGGAGGGTAGATCGGCGCCATGCATGCAACTGCTGCAGACGCTGTATTTGCAGCCATCAAATACAGCTGAAAAATGCTTTTGCTGCTGCAGGGAGCTACGCCCTGGTTGCCCGCTACTGCTCAACGAGATGGGCGCAGTGGCAGCAGAAGCCAAGAAGTAAATCGAGCTGTAGATCCTGATGCTGTCTCTAAGTGTAGTGTATCTGCTACTGGGGGATCCTGGGCTGCTGTCGAGGTGGTTGCTGATATTTCAAATCGTTCGCTGCTTCTATCGTCTGTAGGGCAGCTAGCTTTGTGGGGAGTTCTGGTGCTGAGCGGGTGCTCGCTGCTGCTGTTGCCGCAGATTCGACAGCGCCCTTTACTGGCTAGAGAAGGCAGTAGCTGCTGCTGCAAATATCGAAACAGCGGGCATCTGCATGGCAATGCCGCAATACCTCTCAAACCTGGCAGTGTGCCGTCTACGGGTAGGACAGCTTCCCGGTGCTGCAGCCGCTGCTCGCGCTGCACTTCGTGCCGCAGCAAAGCTTGCGCAGCTCACTGCCTGCCCGATAGGGCCTTTGTCAGGCCTCGCGTACGATTTTCTTTATGAACTACAGCAGCTTCGAAGCAGCAGCCGGGGTGTAGCTGCTGCTACCGACCCACTACGCCTTCGAGCTGCTGGCGCTGGATGCAGCAACCTGCAGCGACAATTTGCTGCCGGGAACGCTGCTGTGCTCCTGTCTACTGCTAACGCCTGGCTAGTGCTTGGAGTTGTCACTCTTTACGGCGGCAAGAGCGAAGAGGCAGTGCCAGCCATCGAATACGTAAGCGCACTGCGAGGAAGCCGTCGCTAGGTGCTGCAGCTGCAGTTTATCTGGTGACGGACCGCAGGTACAGCACGTCTTTGTTCCCTCTCTACTCGTTGCAGGGATGCCGTGTTGCACGCTTATCCGCCTTCTGCTGCTGCTGCAGGCGCTAAGCTTGACATGGGCTATGGAGGCGTTCGGTAGCACACGCAGAGAAACCCTGCAGTCTGCAGCAAAGACAGCAGCGCCAGCTGCTTCGCCAAGCCTGAGGCTGAATTTGCTGCAGCGCATCTACAACTTGGCACTAGGGGCAGCAGCACCTGCAGTAGCACACAATGATCCAATCGAGCTGGGAGGCCCTTTGACAAGACCCCCTACAGACAAATGGATTTCGCAGCAACAGCGACAGCTGCGCCAGCAGTCTGAGCTGCAGCAACGCTGCTGCGAAGAGGAGCTGCAGCGGCGCCGGGTGTCGCTGCAGCAGAGACTGCATGAATTAGGTGAGGAGGATACACTTGAATGGATAGCGTTGATGCGGCTGCACCAGCAGCAGGCTCGACGCAAACTGGCTGAGGCAGCAGCCACGATGGGCATCGACAGCAGCAGCAATCGACAGCAAAGCGCTGCATGCATTGCTTCCAGTGTAAATCCGTAGCATTCGGCTGCAGTTGGCCATCAAGAAATCAAGCACATAGGGCTCCTGCCAGTAGTGCAGCAGCGCCTTCCGCTATTTAGGAGCTGCAGCAGAGGCTGCTACAGCCAGTTCCGATGGGAGTCCGTCTGCAGCAGCAGTTGCTGTCTTTGCTGCTGCTGCTGCTCCTGAGCCTCAAAGGGCTGCAGCACGCATGGCTCTCGCCTCGGCTTCAGCATAGTCCTTCGGATCAACTTTGCGCAGCATAACAACCCTAAAACAGCAATCGAGAGACAGTCTCACAGTTACGCAGTAAACCGTTTGCTAATGGGCACAGCACATGCCCATGGCAGCAGGTGGCACTTACTCGAGCGCAACACGTGATTACAGCGGCGGGAGTAGTGGCTTACGGTTTGAGTGTATCTGCAACGGCAGCCAGGGCTGCTTCTGCCGCTGCAGTGGCTGCTTCACAGCTGCGACGTGCAAGCAACTCGACGAGCCAACAACTCTCGCCTCCTTCCCACAAAGGCTGCTGGTGGGCAGGGTCCTACAGCAAAGGCAGAAGCAGCAGCAGCTCTCACGAGAGCGCCGTCGTTAAAGCACTGAAATTCCAACGGCCTTGCTGCGTTGAAATAAGGAGAGACACACAGCTGCGGCGACAGCACCACCCCCAGCACCATACGAGAAAGTGCCGTTGAACGAGTAGCACGACATGCCGTGAAGTCTTCGGTTTAAAGTGGAAGACGTCGGCTTTCACGTGGACCATGCCAACACGCCTTAACAGGAAAAACAGGCGCAAGCGGAGAAGGCAGGCAGGAGAAACAACTCGCCAAAATGCATAGATGCCCCACCATGCCGTGGAGGCTTCATAGACGCAAGGCAGTATGTAGCGAGTGCTTTCTGGCTGGCCATGTGTCGTAGCTACACAGCTTAGCAAGCCTGCATTCTGCCCTCCCAGTGTACGCCCTACCTAAATCCTAGCATGCCTAAGAGACCCCTGATGCTTTGCGACGTTTCCACCGCACAAACGCGAACGGCTTCCGCAGTTCGCTTCGCATGAAGTCCTCCTACCAAGACGCCTCGATCTACGTGAAACACCGTGCTGCATGCATGCCACACAGAAGACGCTCCCCTATGGGCTCCACGCTCACGAGACAGCGTCTGCTTCAAAATAAAGGAAACTGGCCTTTCGGATGCATACCAGGCATCCTTGACGGCGGGTGGCTCGGAGTACCACCTGAGGGTCAACTCATGCGGCGTGTCTGCACGCTTCCGCATGTCCATACAGCCTGCAGGAGCCTCAACACACACAACCCATCATGGTGGGAGGAGGGGGGGGGTGGTGGTGGTCCTAGGGAGGCTTTCGCTCCCTGTAGGGTTTGAAAAGGCAGTGAAGGCGCAGTACGCGATGTTCGGAAGTTGGAAACGCCCCCTTAGCGGCAACACACCCGTCTGGGCAGCGGCGGTGTGCATGACAACATCTGTCCAACTGGAGGCGGAGCGAACATCTGCCGTGCCGCTGCACAGCTCCAGCAGCCTCTCCTTTTCTTCCTCCGTTCGTATGAGACCCTGAGCAAAAACCGATGCCGCCAAGGTAGTTCTAAAGGCCGATGGGGAGCAGCGTTTTCACAGACTCCCCCTGACCCCGATGCTACGCCGCGCGTGGCACCCTGCGCTCTGAGTGCGTCGTCGCGCCTGGGAGTACACTGAAGGATACCGCTGGAGGATCTGCCCGTGCTGCTGCTGCTGCTGCGTCGGCGGTAACTGCCACTTCGGCTCAGACCCTCCCCTCTGCTGCTTTCCTCTCTTACCCGGAGGCGCAACTCTGTATACACCGCAGAGCTCGAGGCCGAATCTCTCCCCAGGCTTTCGCCCTCCACATCTTCCCACCCACGAAATAAAAACGCCATCCGCAGGGAAGGCGTGGGATCTTCAGGGCTGGAGAGGACAAACCACCCTAAGCAGCCTCAAGCCCTCCAAGGGCCTAACCTTCGCACCATTGAGAGACGCCGTCAGATCCCGTGAGGCATTTCTACACTATTTAAGGCTTAAGATTGAGGGTTCAGCTTCCTGTGGTCCCGCGGCTAGCGCGGGGTGCCCTGACATTCGTTGGGGGGCCCTACAACGGGGCCTCGCGGTGCGACTGCCAAATCGGCTATTCATCTTTCTTATGATCCTGTCTCAATTAATTTACATATATTTCCTTTTATCTGCTTATCAACGCTGCAGTGCGCTTCTACGGGCTGCTTTCCACCGCCTGGTCTCCCTACAACTGCACCGCCGCCGCCAGTGCAGCCGCGGTTGCGGCTGTCTGTACACCTCACATGAATGGGTGCCCTTGCTCCTTGTCCTTTGCGGGGTATCAGGTTTACTGCTGCAGCGCCCCGAGCGGTGCTGTAGCTGCCGGCAGATCGCAATGGCTGCTGCAAAAAGAGGAGGAGCAGCAACCCTTGCTGCTCCTGCCGCTGGCGGCAGTCCACTGGCACTGATTACAATAGGTCTTCTGTTGCAGCCACGCCATCTTTGGTGTGTTGCCCTATTCTGGATAGCGCCGCAGCCGGCAGTGATATCTGCTGCGGCTGCATCCCTCCCTGCAGAGGCTGCAGCAGCAGCCGCAAAACCCCAAGCCGACCCCAATAATGAAGACAGCAGCAGCATCAGCCTGTTCTCAGACACCGAAATACCTCCGGGAGCGCACAATGTCTTGATGCTGCTGCTGCTCCTGCTGTTTGCTGCTTGGCTGCTGAATGTGCTGCCGCGGCTTCTCAGCCTCCTGCAGATCAAGAAGCAACTCGCCGTGCAACGAGTACAGAGCTGCTGCTGCTGCTGTTGCTGCTGCGAGTATCCTCAAGGCGACTGCAGTCTGGATAATGCGCTACTGCAGCTCCGGATGTTCTGGCCGCTTCTCGTCCTGCTTGCAGGTATTACGTCGGTGCCCTCTGATTGTGCTCCTGCTGGCTGCTGCAGGAGGCGTTGCTACTTGCGGGATTCGGAATGTATAGATCAGAGCTGCAGCAGCTACTCAGGCTGCACTTTAACAAGCTGCTCCAACAGAATAAGCCTGCCGCGGCTGCAGCCATGCCCCTGGTGGAGGTGAAGGCATACGCCTACGACCCGCTGCCTCTAACTCAGGGTGACATAGCGGAGGCTGCCGAGCTTTTCCAGCAACAGAAGCAGCTGCGTCACGAGCCGGTGCAACAGGATCGAGAGCTTGCAGCAGCCCACACAAGCAGCAGCAGCAGCGGCATCAGCATGTTTGCTGTAGCTGCAGGTCCACTAGGGAGTCGCTGCTGCAGTAGCAGCAGGCGAGGGCGCAGTGGCAGCAACAGCAGCAGCAATTCACAGCAGCAGGAAGCCTTGCTGGACGCTGCGTCTCTCAGCATTGCTGATGCTGTCTGCACAGAGGCACAGGCAACAGCAGCAGCAGTGGCTGCTGCTACCGCCCTAGCAGGTGGCGGGTTCGAGGTATCCGTTGATGCTGCAGAGACAGCGTCCGTTAGAGCTTATTGGGGAGTGACGCGAAAGGCAATGGAAGCATTCGTAAGCGTCCTCCTGCGTCATTTGGCCTGTTCCGCTGCCTAGAGTGTTCGTACACCTCCAGGTGCCGCCTTGGCTCGAGCGAAGTTGCTGATGGCTTCTGCAGGAGGGGCGGCAGAGTTTAGGCGTCTGTGTATGTGAGAGCAGCTGAAGGGGAGCAGCGCCAACGAAGGCGATTCTTTGCTGGCCGGCTCCGCGAGGCGTTTGGCGCGCTTTTTGCCAAAGAGTGGCTCCTCAAGCAGCAGCAGGCTCAGCCGTAAGCAGCAGCGACGAGCAGACGGCAGCAGCTGCAGCAATGGCAGGCAGCAGCAGCAGCTACTTGAGTTGCGTGTGCTGAAGGGTGGGTCAGGCGTGTTCGCTGCAAAGTGCTGTTGCTGCCGCGTCTCATCGAGTGCTGCAGCGCGTGCTGCTGTTGCTGCAAATCCGATTTGCTGCAGTCCACACGCATGGGCAAGGCGTTGCTGCAGAGGCTTCCACTGTACAGTGGACTCGTGAGGACTGCTGCCTTCTCTCAGCTCCCCATATGTACGTGGCAGCGTTTTCCCCGTGCAGCTCCTGCTGTGGCTTGCAGCTCTTGTGGCTGTTGCGACGTGGTTGCCACTGCTTCCTCGGCAGCTGCTCAGCGGCTGCTGCAGGCAGGCACTTGAGGGGCATGCGTCTGTCTTGTCGCGTGGCGTTGTTTGCAGCGTGCCTGCTGGTCGAAGCCACCGCCTTCGATTCTTCACGCAAGATCCCGTAAAGTTTAGCCTTTCCAGTCCTTGCTAGAAAATTCCGCAGAGCCAATCCGTAGCAGAGCACTGGAAGCGGCTGCACGGATCTGGAACTGCCCCTTGCAAGCGCTGAACTGGGCGGTTTTGCAGGGAAGCTGCAAGCATGCCTTGATGGCGCAGAGCTGCCGCGTTTGCTGCACCTGCCGCGTTTGCTCTGCAGGATAACACGTGTGGTCAGGTGATGCCATGCTCTGAAGGCCTCTTTCCGCTGGTAATCACGGCGTCTGTCGTCGTGTCTCAGGTTCGCCACTACTGCTGTATTCAAGTACACAAGCCCGCGGGGCCCTCTGATCCACTGCAGAGGCATGCTGAGCGAGGGATAATAGTCTGTGGCTTTTGTGGGTGCCGTCTGTTGCGCTCGTTGTGCTCGTCGCCTGCGGATGCATCTTCAGCAAGTGTTTTGCGCTGCGCTGCGCTGCGCATTTATGTGGCTTACAGCAGGAAGACAAGGACGAATTTTCCGTTTCACGGCAACCAAGCAAGGGAGAGGTGTGCTGCGGGACGCACAGCCACCGTCCATCCTTGTCTGGTAATAGTTCTTGGTATTCGGTGCACTGCTGCATGTGTGTGTGTGTGTGTGTATGTGTGTCGGTGGCTTTTTTGTGTTGTTTCGCCAGGCTTCATGCCATCTGCTGCTGTTGCGCTGCCGCCCTCTACCTCCTCCTCCCCCTTCGACCAGCAGCAAGACTCGGTTATCTGCTGCAGCGGCTGTCGCTACTGCGACGGCTCCCTTCCCGTCTTGTTATGTGTCCCACCGATTTGAGGTGTACAGACAGCTTCTAGCAGGGGGTAGCCTCACCAAACCTCAGGAAAAAGGCGACGTATTTGGGGTCAGCAGCAACAGCGGAACCTACGATATCGATTGCCTCGTCTGCATGACAAACCCCAAAACTGTAGTTTTATATCCTTGCAGGTACGGTGGTGCTGCGGCTGCTGCTCTTGTTTTCCGTGGTCACTCTGTCAGTCCTGCTTGGGAGTATGCCTAAACAAAGGTCAAGCAGCCGCATTTTGATGTGTTCGGGAGCGGATGCTGCCACTGTGTGAATGTGCTGCTGCTGCTGCAGACACTGCGCCTTGTGCGTTGAGTGCCTCCAAGCGCTGCACCAGGAGAAATGCCCTGTGTGTCGCTCTCCTTTCTTTGCGTTTATTACTTTCCCCTTGAAAAAACAATTGGCTGCAGCACATGCAGCCGGACATGTGACTCCCGCTGCTCCTGTTGGCGCCGCCGCTGACGCATCGGCAGCAGGAGCTGTCCGGAGCACTGCCAGTAGTAGTGCCGCGCCAGCTCCGCACCAGCAAAGGGGGGGAAGCAGAGTTGTACCACTTAGCTGATTCGGCGTGTCTAGTGACAGCTGATGCAGCAACCGTGTGTGTATCAGTAGCAACCTGATTGTATACTCTGTAGTTGCTGGAATCAGGCGCATCGCTGTATCTACAGGCAGCAGCGGCCTCTACAGAAGCGCACACAAGCGCGCATCATGCAGTCAGAGCTTTGTGCTCTGCATGCAGCAGCTGGGCGTTTGACGCCACTACATGCCCCTACGATAAGGCTTTTAAGGTTAGAAGTGTCGATTGCTTCCCCTTGAACTTCTGTATATGGGACCGCATGGTGGTTTTTGCTTCACCGTAGAAACAATTTGTCGCGGATCATTGGGCGTCTTGTGAAATAAGTGGATGCCAGATCAAAGACAACTTGTAATGCGGCGCGTCGATGCCAAAGTACCCCATCGAACCACTGCAGAAACTACATGTAAAGCTTGTTCTGGAAGTGACTGTTAAACGTTTTTTTGCCAGCGGAATGTCCGCAAGGGATTCCGCAGCTGCCTGGATGGCTCGTTGGCGAGGTGGGACCTCAGATACACGTCGGTGTGGTAGGCACTACAAAATCTCCACATTTAAGATTTCACCCGGGAAAATATACCCAGCTGGGTTCCTGTTACTCCTTGCCCACAAGAGTCCACGGCTCTTCTCTATGCTACTTTACTTGAAGTAGACGACAGTCGTCTGCTTCACACTGGCTTGCCCGATACACGTGAGAATCTCGGCGGAGGGCCATTAGAGTATTCAGGTAGGCATGGCTGTTTCTTTCACTGCTTGTGGCTAGTGCTATGCATGTTAAGACAAAAGTATCTGAAACTGAGGGCAAGGGGCTACTAGTAAAATGGCCCCTGGGAGCGGAGGGTTCACAACCCCTACTAAGGTCTCTACTATTATCGTGTTTTGATGTTGGACCCGATACAAGTGCTATTTTTGGCATAACCTTGGTTGAAACTGCATCTGCATGTACCGCTACTGTGGAGGCCGTTGGACAAAGCTGTGCTGCAGCTGCTTTCCTCTGGCTCTCTTAACCCATACTGCGACGGCTCGCTTCCATGAACAAATTGTCCAAGTTTTTTCTCAGGTAGCCATCCCTTCGCCTGGTAAAACGACCTGCTGTCGCTGATGCGAAAGAGGATGCAATAAAGCAGCAATTAAAACAGCAGCTGGGTGAAAGATTTTTTGACGCAAATAGTGCAGCAACATTAGGGCACTTTCAGCTGATGCAAAAGCGATTATAGAGGGTTAAGAATAATACAGCAACGCCGCAATTAGGCATATCCGCCCTTCAATCTGTAGAGCCACAGGGATGCTGAATGAGGAAAATCATCAAGTCTTCCTTTAGCGGATCTGAGAAGATGTTGCTCGCTATTCCCAGTGGGAAAGTCCGAAAGGCTAAACCTTATCAGCAGCGACAGAGGCAATTAGAGTGCACAGATACTCTTATATCAAGGATAAATTAAGGAGAATACTTCTATTCAATGGTACACAGCTTGAGGGAGCAGCAGGCGACCTGCTGCATCATTGCTGCTGTTGCTACGGCTGCTGCACACTCTGTACCGTTCCAACTCCCTGATACGCCAGTACTGCAGCTCAACGATACCAAACAAATAGGACACATCATAATTAGCAAAGTGTGCAGCACTAGAAGAATGAGAAGCAGCAACTATAGAGCCACCACAAGCCGGAGCAGCAACAGCCTAGTCCCTCGGATGCAGCTGCAGACACTGGTATTCGACATCAGCTGCATATGTGATGTCACTGCGTCCTCTTTGATGTTTTGATGCGCGTTAATATTATTAATCCTACTTCTAACCCATAGCAGCCGCCTTGGCAACAATTAGCTGAAACGCAGTTTCCTAACCTGGGTCACTCTCGAATCCCTGCTGCCACTGCGCATCGATACAGCGCTGCAGCACCGACGCGGCTGCAGGAATCTTCATAGAAATTGCTTCGATTCCCCCAACGATTCATGCAAAGTTTCAGTTTTTTCCTTAACGAGAAAATCATTGGCGGCTGAAACTTGAGCAGCATTTCGCATTGGGGGCCGATTGAACGGATGGTGCTGCTGCTCCTGCCGCTGCGCAGCGGTGACTTCGAGTGTTCGGGCTGCTCCTCCTTATGAAGCTATTAATAAGGTGCAGCCATAGCACCTGGTACCCCTCTTAAGCCAACTGTGGGATCTTAAGAATTGCGGTGGCAGCAGCTTCAATAGCAGCAGCCTTAGCAGCTCGGTGTCAAATGGTACTTTGTTTTGCAGCAGAGCCCAGGGGCATTTCGTCGCTGATGCTGCCGACCTTCGAGGGCCTAACCATAGCGATGATTGCACGTTGCTTCTAAAATACACACGCATGCTGCTGCTGATCCTTGCCGCTCCCTCTTTAGGTAGCTGTCTACTCTCCTGAATGGCAAGTAAAATGTCCCTTATGAAGAGGTGATTTTTACTATGAGGATGCAGGGCAGGTAGTAGCGGTATTTACTCTAGGTAAACTTTTCACTTCTTCCAAATTTATGGACGCCCACACCATTTCCACCAGTGAAGGCCTCTCCAACGAAATTCGACCCTCATGTGTTCTTGCTGGCCTACATGAGTATGCGGTTGAAGGAAGGTGTGGCTTCTGACATACTGTTAGTGTAAGACATGCAGCAGCTTATGGAGCAGGATAAGACGAAAGCAGCAGCAGAAACAGATTTAGCAGTTGCCGCTGATACAAGTGAATCAGCATGGGGGATGTTGATGCCTTAGTTTCTGCGTGGCACTTGGAGGGCACCACAAGTGGGCCAGGTGCAGCACCTGGTGAATCGGAGCCCTCTACTTTCTTTACTCCTGCAGCCTCCTGTGAGTTTCCAATCGATGCCTCTGTGTCTGTGGCCGCGGATACCGCACTGCAGCACCCCCATGAAGCTCCTGGCACTGCGAAGCACCACGGGAGTCTCAAGCTACTGCAGACGCACCAAATGGGTTCCCTTAAGGAGAAATCGGTGTTTTCCTCACAGCATTGTCTCATGCAGGAGCAGCAGTCGCCGTCAAAGCATGCCTTCTCTTTACGAACAAAACCCAGGCTGGTTGCTGTAGCCGCTGCAGCACTCGCACGGCCTTTCCAGCGACGCCAGGCACCTCCAAGCGGAGATCAGCAGCAGGTATTGGAGCAGCCACAACGTGCAGAAGACACAGTGAATACGGCGGGAAAAAGTTGGGGGCAGTCAGATGCGCTCGATCCAAAGCAACAGCTACAGCTGTGCACCAACCCTCCTCGTAAAATGAAGTCTCTTGAAAGTACCCTGGGGAGGCTGCTCGGTAGATGGGGGGAACGGCCTCCTCTTGTTGGTCCGTCTGCATTTCCTCGAAGTAGCAGCACGAAATTCTGTAGAAGCAGTGGGCCTATCAGTTGCGTATTGGACCACAGTCCGGAAGTCGGCCTGTCGCATAGATGCCTCTCATCCTCTTACACCTCGCAGTGGATGCAAGAACAGTCACAGCAATGCGAGAGCGAGCATGTGCTTGAGCAGCAAGCAAGAATGTGCAGTTGTGAGTCATTACCCTCCGCTGTTTCTACACAGGACAACTCGCATCAGCTGATGCAGCAGGTGCCGGACTGTTCACTACAGGAACTGCAACAGCAGCGATCGCGGGGTGGCCCCTTCGACGGCAACGCCGCAACATCAGAGACACATGGGAAAGTACAACGGCAACAGTCTTCGCTTGCGTCAGCAGAGGGTTCAGGTGGCGAACTCGCAGAAGAGTTTTATGTCGACCCCTATTTTGAGAAGCAGCAGAAGCAGCGGCATCGACAGCAGCGCCTTGCAGCAGCAGGAGACCACTTCCTCATACCAAGCAAGGAAACAAAATCGCTGAGTAGCAGCAGCACCAGAGCTCCGGTGGGCAGTAGCAGCAGTAATAACAGCAGTAGCAATAGCTGTATGACGACGAATCTGTTCGAATCCACCTTAAAAGCGGAAGACTCAGATAACGGGGAGCTAACAACAAGTCGGGAGGCTCTGGTGACGGATTTTGTGGCCACACCAAACCACATAGCACCCACAACGGCTGCAATTTCGAAAGCAATAAGCGCAGCGCTGCCAGACGGCTCAAGAGTGCCGCTGCCAGTAGCACCACCTCCCAAGCGGAGAGACGCAATGCACAAGAGAACAGATGAAGAAGTGTCTCATCTTATATGTGAGCCCGTCGTGCAGCACCGAAAGCTCCAGGAACCCGACCACATGGTGAATCTAAGCTTCAGAGAGGCCGCATGCGACGGCACCATCAAAACGATTGCAAGAGCTCGCAAGCCTTCAGGCATCGTTTTGCCAGGAGCAACAGCTGCAACAACAGCAGGAGTAACTCAAACCGCAGTACTGACCAGTCATTTTCCTGGCGTTTTAGATTCGACGAATCATAAGCACGTTCAAGGATCAGCAACAGCCTTGACAGCACCACAGGACATCCGTACCCCCACTAAAGCGGTGCTTTTTACGGAAAGTTGGGCGACCCCGAGAAAAGAAAACGCTTCTCCTGGTAGCGTTGCAGCTCAACTCCTTAATTCCGAAGCTCATGAAGAGCATGAGCAGGAAGAGCACCAGCAACAGCCGGAAGACCAGTGGCAGCAACAGGAGCAGCACGAGGCTACGCTGCATCAGCAATCGAATGTGCAGCAGCAGGAACAGGTAGCACTGCGTCACATGGACAGTCCGCGCGCTGGGGTAGCGTCTTCGGGGGAGGGAACTTCAGCAGCGTACAACGAGGCTCACGCAGTATCACTCTCAAGGACTGCAGCAGCAGTACCTCCAGTGCCTCCAGCGGCGTTTAGTGATGAGGTGCAGGAGCTTTGTAGCAGCTCTAAGCCGTTGTCTCCCATCACGGTGCTACAGCATTTTGCATGGCAACTCACCGAATGGGAACGAAAGGAAGTTCTCGAATACCCCCAGGTGTGGTACTGGGGTTCACAGCGGGAGAAACCAGCAGGTACTGAGGATGCATGCTTATACGGTGGCCCTTTTGCTAGTGCTGCCGCAGGTGTTTCTCACGGTAAGCATTCAGGGAATGCAGCGGTAAGGCGATCGGAGGGTCCTTCCGAATCACGCGAATCTGTCTTGCGGACAGCGCCATCCGCCTTCAGCAACAGTTTCAGCAGCAAGCTCTACAGCGCCAACATGACGCGTAGCAACAGACAGCTGATGAATGCGACCAGCGGCAGTGCATGCAGCTACTTTTGCGACTCCCGTGGAGAGTACCTTGTGTCGCTGCAAGATCATATTTGTTATCGTTTCCAGCTTCTGCAGCCTCTAGGAACCGGATCTTTCGGGAGTGTATTCAGAGCACTAGATCACAGAACTGGCGAGGAAGTTGCCCTAAAAATTATCAGAAACAAGTGCAGCTTCCACCTCCAGGGACGAGAGGAAGTGAAGGCGCTGCGGCTGCTGCTTACCCTTGACAAGGGCGACAAGGCAAACGTAGTGCACCTCAAAGAAACCTTCCTTTTTCGTGGTCACTTGGTGCTCAGTTTTGAACTGCTCGGCCATAATCTGTACGCATTCCTACGGAGGAACAAATTTCGGGGGTTTTCTACTCTCGCCGTTCGTAGTATTGCCATTCAGCTCCTGCACGCCCTCCGGCTGCTCAAGAAGGCCAGGATAGTGCACTGTGATGTGAAGCCTGAGAACATAGCTCTGCTGAATGGCAGGAAAAGCACTGTCAAGCTTATTGACTTTGGTAGCAGTTTTAAAGATGGGCGGCAGCAGCCGAACGCGTATATTCAGTCGCGCTACTACCGCTCACCAGAAGTCCTCTTGGGACTTCCGTACGGCCACGCAATTGATATCTGGTCGTTGGGATGCGTCTTAGCAGAGCTGCACACAGGTATTCCCCTCTTTCCGGGAGAGGATGAGGCCGACCAACTCGCAAAGATTGCTTCTCTTTTGGGGTTCCCTCCTGCGGACTTGATCATGCGCTCTCCTCGCAGCGGCCTCTTCTTTGATGGCGATTCAGAGGACACCTTTTGCTTCTTTAATTCTGGACACAACCGCTCGCCTACAGAAGCGTCTAGCTCTGCCAACTCCCTGACAGCCAAAAGTCTAGAAGAAGCTGTAGCCCCAGCGGATCATTCGTTTGTCGATTTCCTTAAAGGTACAACTTTTGCAGTCCCTTTCTTCTCAGTTAGTCAGTCGTGGGGCTCCTTTTTGTCTTCAAAAAATCTCATACGCTGGACCACCCATGACAGATTAATGGGTGTAGGCCAAGTTCTTGTTGCCGCAACGGGTGATATATATATATATATATATATATATATATATATATACATGCTTTAAAGCCACAAAGCCAGAGCAGAAGCACCTGGAATTTGTGCACATGTGTATGGCTATGGGTACAGACGTACGTGCAGGCTTAATGCACATGTGCTTCCATACAGCATTTTTTGCATTATATGTATCTTTGTTGTTGCAGGCTGTCTTTGCTGGGATGCAACGGATCGAATGACACCAGAGGAGGCACTTCAACACCCCTGGCTTCAAGAATTCTACTATTTGCGTCACCGGCGGTACCGCTAATGACCTTTGCTTACTGATGACAATACACCATCAGAACCATATCCACGTTCTTCCGCGCATTCAGCTTGCTACTCCTCACAGGAGCTCAGAATCAATTCCAAGTGCTCACCTCTCATGTTGCAACTGTTGCTAGTGCATGCAGCAGGACCGTCTTATTCTGTGTGGCGTGTGAGGTGGGCCTGGCCTGTATTTGCGCGTCGCCCTTCCGAATTGTGCTTTACCATATTCGCATTGGTCTTCGCTGACGCTGCCGCAGGCTTAGCAGCAGCTGGCGCCTTCCTCATGCGCAGCAGTGCTATCTGTTTTGCAGCCCGTGCCAGCGGGCTGAGAGTTTCAACTTCCACTGTTTTGAATTTATGCTTGTCTTCTGATTAGAAGCAGTGCAGACTACTTGCTGAGGCCGTATGTATACCTATTTGCGGCAAATAAAACCGAATACCGCCCCTTCATACAGATTGGTAGCACCGCTCCTCGCAGTCAGTAGATAATCGTCGCATTCCCGGAACCTTACAACGGGCAGAAGACCACTTGCACACTCCGCTCAATGTCGTACCCACGAGTCATGGTAATGCGTGCTGAGCTATGCGTATGCACTTTTTCCCACGATAGTTATATTTCATTCAGAATCAGTTTTGAACTGATCGAGTGGTTCGTCAATGTTGCATTATTGTCGAGAGCTCTATGCACCACCGTACAATAAGGTGGGACGTTGTGTACGTGTGCGCTACAAGCCATGGGCAGCTGACTGTGAATACTGGGAGTGCTTGGAGGGTGCATCTATACCCAAGCCATTTTCCCCTCCTTTCCATGGTACTGAAACCCTGCAAGGCGATGGGAGGAATATGAGGGACCAGTTTCGTGAGACGCTTAGTAGCTTTCCTTGCGTATGCTGCTGAATTTAGACTCCATTATCTCCCTACAAACATCCTACATCAATCGGTACACTTGATGGCACACCGTGGTGTGGTGTAGCTGTTTCGCGCTCTTCCAGTGGCTTTAGATGCTTAGAATGTCATGCTTCCCTACAAAGGTTGTTTCCCCTTGATCACGTCTTTCGGTAACTCAATAAATATACTTTCTCTTTCAGCAGTCTGATACAAGTGAACTTTTGCGATTGGGGCAGAAGGCGGCTCAACGCTTCTTTGGGTGGCATAGGTTGGCCTGCAAACGCAGCGGCTCCACAGCTGGTATAAAAGGATCATTTTTCAATCGGTAGATGTTTGTGGATCTGCCGATCAAGCTGTGCTAACCAGAGGCATATGACATCCGTAAGGATTGGCAAGTACTTGAAGATTGCTTCGCCCGGTACGAGATGTAGCTTGTTCTGTACCGCTTCTTGACAGGCAACCAGTGCTTCTAATGGCATGCCTATTTGGATTACGAGGCACTTCAATAATGACAGTACACTGACACAGTGTTTATGCAATCGAGCATCAGAGTGTTGTAAGCTGGCTCTAATATACAATCGAAGGCAGTCGAGGAAAGCAACCTGGAAAGACCGCACGCTGCTTGGCAGCTCCTGACTGCCCCTACTGACGCATCTTCGTCAATTGCAGGAAATTGCATGTCATTGTTATCCGGATCAGCAGATCAATGAATAATGAAATGGACAAACTGGAAGCAGGGTTCTAAAAGGCAAAGAAGAGAAGCATGTAGAGGAAACTACAAGCATGCCGTGCAGGCTACGATGCAGTGAAGGGCGCTCTAGAGGATGGAGCCGCAGTTGAAGGCCCACCACCGGTCAGCTCTGAGCCGATGCGAGCTGGTTTAGAAGCCAATAATTGCTAGCGTTTCTTGACGTTGGATTTCTCGAGAAAACCGCGT